AAGACCATGGGCTTAGAAGTAATAACGGCATATATTCTGCTGTGATTAGCATTATTAACTTTATTAGCTGATTAATTAATTATGAGAGTCTGGTACCTATTACAGCCAAGCATTTTGCGGAAGAATTAAAAAAAGGGGGGTTGTTGATCACCTCAAACTGCTCATAGCTCTCTCTTACCCATGACTTTTTGATCACAATCATAAAATTTCATAATCTGGAATGATCACGCCACATGTATGACGTCATTATAAACCAATGAGAGAAGTTGTTTATATTGAAATTGAAATTAGCCATAAACAACAATTATTACTTGGACTTGGATTGGAAAATGATAGGTTGCATAAAATGTTTTTTTTTTTCAACTGCTTTACTCACATTGGTCCATACTCTGGTGAGATACAAAACATTCTTGTCTTATACAACCAAGGCCAGAATGGGAGAGTATCATACATTTTGGCCATGCTTTGTGAACTGTGATTTGATAATGAAAGGCTGCATCAAATGTTTTTTTCTCTGATTGTGCTTTGCTCTCATTGGTCAATATTTTAATGAGTTACAAAATATTATCATCTCATGCAACCAGCTCAGTGGCCAGAATGGGAGAGTATCATACATTTTGGCCATGGTTTGCAATGTTGGGTGGGGGGGGGGGGGGGGGGGGGGGGGTCACACAGAGGCTGAACACAAACTGTATTATTAAAGTGGTTTAATTTAATAATGTTCTAACAAATTAGAACCCTAAGAAAAATATCTTGGCGTAATGTTTGTTACTTCGTTATTCTGACTTGTAAATTGGTAATTTACTGTCATTTGTAGAAATTTTTCTCCCAGTTTAGAGCAAGATGGTAATCTCATGTACTCTGATAATGCCTTACCAATAAGTTTAATCTTACTTTGAAATGTCATTGAATCTTTCATTCTGAAATTCTATAAGAACTGAAAAAAAGCCTAAGACTTCTTACAACAGAGAACAAAATAGATAGGTAGAGATGTGAGACGATTACCGCCAATCAATTGATATCTATTATGTTACAGGGCTCGGGCCTTTGAGAATGAATTGGTATTTACGTCATTAGAAATATTTAATGTTAAGAATCATGGCACAATGTGCTCTGTCTGTATACAGAAGTCAGTTCACTCAGTCAAGCATGCTTTCTTCATTTAATTCTTTATTTAATAAAGCACCTATCAGAAATGCGAATCGCTGAAGATATCTACATGTGCTCTACGGCCGACATTGACTTGTGCCGTGCCAAATGCTTTTTAGAGAGGAATGAAACGAAGTCACAGCCAAGATTCTGTTCAAGAGGTAGATAATTTTAATGCATTCACTGAGAGAGATTTTTCTTTGTACCAAAGGAAGCCCCTGTTCTTTGTAGAGATTATGTTTCAGTCTAACCTATTCTTAGTGCTGTCTCTCTCCAAGTTCTTTTTAGGGGGGAACATCTTAAGTACACCATTCAAGTATAATTGTAAAAAATATATTTGAACTGCTTTTACGAGGTTATGAAACAGGTAACTTTGAGTAGGTGAAATGACATGAGGCAGATGAACCAAAAATTGTGTGAAAAATCTTCTTATTTTTAAGCGGGTATGGTAAAATTCGGTCTGAATCTGTCATTAGATGTTTGGCGTATTTTGTCTTTAGTCTAAGGGCAAAGTCACGATATAGTCTGTGACAGCTCTTAATCACCTCGTTAGGTTTCAGTAATGGATCATTCTTTTCTTTCTGTTCCACTGCATTGATTTGTGAATTACTGCTTGATAAATTATTTAGCGAGAAATTATGGCCATGTGAGGTCAAGGTCAGAAGGTAGAGACATTGGTCACTCTAAAGAGTTCTAACTCTCTGTCTATACCCAGTATCCACAAAACCTTAATCAATCTGTTAAATTTTTGGAAGTTATAGATTTAGAGGGATAAAGAGATTTCTATAATTTAAATAGAGAGTGAAACACAGTAAAATAGAATTTGTTTCCTAAATCTTGACCATATTGGACAGTACTTGGGATTTTGATAACTGCTAGTCTGCTAGTTTTTGTTGTTGCAGAAAAACTATAGTGCTGTACTATAATTCACTAATTATTTTGTGACATCTTACATTAATGAGAATTTAATAATTTTAAAATTTTCAGGAATTTTGTTTTTCCTCTGAACATTTATAATTAGTACTGTAGGATTATATGTGAGAGAGAAATTTTCAGATGGTCTCACATAATTATATGGGAAAACATTTCTCGCCAATAAAATGTCGTTTACGTAATAGTTAGATCATATTAAGTAAAATTTTAGTGATTAAGAAGGGGCGGAGGGAGCGAAGCGACCGAGCCCCCTTCTTAATCACTAAAATTTTACTTAATATGATCTAACTTACTTAGAACCTATCGCGCTTTTTCATTGGCTAATAAATCAGCCCGCGGAGTTACTGCATAGACATAGAATCTTAACAATTAAGTGATCAACTTAATAGGAAATTTAGCAGCTGCTGATTGGAGGAAAAAGCGGGTTAGGTTCTAAAGAATGTTACAAATAAAATGAGGTTTTGTTCCTATATAGTTTCAGGGTGAAGAAAATGACTTGATGTTGCAAATAATTCATAGTTATTTTTTTCATCATTTTTCAATCATTTAGTGAATCAACTATATACTTAAGTAGAGCGTCCTTATAACTTTGTCCTTTCGTTTGTTTTTAATGAGATGAGTTTATCATTGTGTCAGTGAATTGTAGTGAGTCTTCCGTATTACGTATGTTTTTCCCCTCACATCAACTCCTCAGTCAGGAATAACTAACCATCATCTTAATTTACAAAAATTAAAATTATTATCTGAAAACTGTATGGATACTTTTTGCCAACTGTTTAACAGAAAATATCTAAAAATGGGCCTTATTTCTGAAATCCTGATTATGACGTATATGGAAGTAGATAAGTTTCTGTTGCAATTTGAGAGTGTACTTCATTCTATTATAAATTAGTAAACACTTATAAGATTCAAAGTTCACTCAGGTACAGACAGTTGATAAATATAGATACAGAGGTCAGTGGTTGTTAGTGATGCCTAATTGTCAGGGTTCCTCAGGAGCCAGTATAGAACACATGTGATTCCTTCTAGTGGTCTAGTGGAGAGTTGGCCAGATACTTGTATTGATTCCTATGGAAATGCAGGGTTCCTGTTTCTTCGATAAGGACATTCAGTCTTAATAGGCGGACATTAGCAATGTAAATGGAAGTCCATAAGAGAGACCCATGGTGGTCTTATTGAAGGCTTAGATTTCTAGTCCTCTAAAGGAATCTTCTCCACGGAATGACAATTACTACAAGCTTAGCTAAAATGTGACAGGTCTGCACCGTAGAGTAGGATTAGAGTTACACAGACCTGCAATAAATGAGAATTACTGTCCAGCGATTTAGCAGGGTATCTACCAGATGTCTCTGGACACTGCCTCAAGAGGGCACTCTACTGTGAATGTCCTCTATATGTACACCAAAACAGGATAATCAACCAAGGTCTTAGCAGTAAGACTTAACAGTCAGGTGTCATCATCTTTTTACCCCTTTGCATGATATCCAACTAAGACCAGTCTGATTTCAGGGTAAGATGGTTTTAGTTCAGGATGCCTTGCTTACATAGAAAGAAGGGTTTCAATCTAGAACCATCTTACTCCAAGTTAAGGATAGGGTGGGCATTGAGGCCTTGGTTTACTACTAGCTTAGTAGAGTATTCACATTATGTAAGCCCTCCTGCAGAGAATGAACTTATTTTATAATAACATGTTGATAGGTTGCAATCTGGTAGAAGACTTTTTTTGCCACAAGTATAGTGCATCAGTCTTATCATAGCTTTATTAGTCACTAGTGCTGCATTACAACATCTGAATTTTGTATATCTTTGTATTCTTAAGCATTTTAGCAAATGATTTACAGTGAAACAAAGTATATAATGTATGCATAAAAAATATACCTGAGATAGAAATTCAGGCGAATGTCAACGAGTGTATAGCAAGGATCCAGTGATAGTGTTTCATATGGCAAAGAGGCGGGGCTCAAGTCGTCTCATCATTGTCAACAATTTAAAATTGCTGATTTTATTAATTTCTTAACCAATGAGAATCTATTTGCCATTTAAGAGACGCTAGTTATGTAGTGTCGAGAATGCCACACTTTACTGATAGTCCAAGGATAACAGAGAATTGTACTAAGCAATGATTACAAGCTAGAAGCTTCTAAATAACTTTGGGGTGGTACACATTAGCTTTTATATCACAGTGTACCAGGTATTACCCAGAAGCTTCTCTTGGATGTGAAGAGTGAATACATTGTCTTAGTGCTCTTTTTCTGGCACTATGTGATAAATCTCATTCTTTCTGAGTTCCAAAAAAAAAAAAAACTGCTCTACTGGTAAATAGGCTGTTATTTTGCAGCTCTGTATAAATCATGATAAAACTTGAAATGAAAAATTTGGTACAGCTGTTGCTTATGGTGGGTTGGATACAGTATTGATAAGAGAGAGTGGCTGTATAGTGTTAAACTATGTAATGTGTTAATCCTACTCACTTGATTTCCCCCACACACTGACACAATATGACATCAAGTAATGCCCGTCACATCTTGACTTCAGTCACAGAAGTCATCAGATTAGTCCTAAGTCTCCTCTAAGAAACCACCTACATATTGTCAATCATGTGCCCCTATCACCAAACTGAAGTTTTTTTGTCTGATATATTGTCCAAATATAAATAATTCTTTTAAATTATTCATAGTATGTCATTTTAAACATTTATAATAACAAATGACAGATTTATATTGATATCAACAAGAATGTTGTGCATCTTTTATTTCATGTTGTGAATTCAGTGAAATGTATCTTTAAATTTTTTTTTATATTTTAATTGAAATTTTATACTGTTGTCACTTGTATAGATTACACATACTTTATACCCTTCCAGATTTCTTACTATCTTTCAGATAGAACAATAAAACTGTTCCTTTTTGGTTTTTCAGAGTTCCTCCAGTTTTGAGTCGGCTATTCTTGGTGAGGCTCACGGACTGATCACGGACATGTTGGCGGACCAGTCCCTGCCCCTGAACATCGTCAGTGGTCTCCGCACACTCAGTAATCTCCTGAAACCCCCGGAGAGCCACTCCTCCTTCCACAAAACCAGAGTGAGTCCGCTGGTCTCACTGACGGAATCTACCAACTATGGTTCTGACACGGAGGAAAACCCGTACACCGGGGAACGACCTTCAACCAAGGTCAATGTTCAAAGCACATTCTTAATCTTTACTGTAATATCCCTTAATTATTGCTAACTGTAAGAGAACATAAGTTAACTGTATGAGTACTTTTGAGTTTTCTTTGAAATCCGAAGTTGGCTGCGCACTTTGTTTGAGCAGAGTTTTAGTGCTTTAGGTATATATCTGTAAACCTTTAACAAAATACTGTATACAAAATATCTCATATTTTCTAAGAAATACACAGAGTTGTTGAAAGATTATTTTTCTTTACAAGCCAATGGGCTACAATACATTTACACAAATACAGTTAATTCTCGATAAACCGCCACCTTTTGTAATTCAGAAATCATGGCGGTATAACGAATTTGGCGATGAATTGAATTTTCCATCTTTTAGGAAATAAGCGTAAGTTATCGTTCTTAAAATACCATTTAGCGAATTCTTATTATCACATGTACATGTATATATAAGCATAATTTCTTGAAGTAATTTTTTTATGTACAATTTCGCTAAAACAAAATATTAAGTTATGAAATTAAGACAAGTACATGTGTAAAACGGGGCAAAAAAAAAATGCTGGGTCGATTGATATATTGCCTATAGTGCAAAAATTCGTTGTTTATGAAATCATTGTAAATGAAACGTTCACAATTTCTGACTTATAATTATTTTAAAAGCAAACTTTGCTGTTTTTATACAGTATCTAACAAGTGGGAAAAAAAAATTCCAATTCTTCAAGAAACTATTCAATAGTAGCTAGGTTACAAAATGTCTCATATTTTCTAAGAAATACACAAACAGAGTTGTCAAAAAATTGTTTTTCTTTACACGCCAACGGGCTACAATACATTTACTCAAATAACTGTTGTAAAGGTATCAAAATTCAAATTTTCCCTAAAGTAGGTGAACACATATAGATCAGTTGCAAAGTGGTGATTGCTTATGGGAAGAAACCAAGGAGTTCCTATCAAAATCCTGTAATGGTAATGAGAAGCAATAGGAGAAATAGAAAATACTAAGTAAATATACACATTTGATTTATGCAAGGTTTATATTACCAGAACAAAGATATAAATTACAACTTTCAATTAAGATAATTGTTAACCATCTCTTTAAAATTAATTTAATGAATTTTCTTTTTTTACTAAGGCAAATTGAATTTTTTTGATTGAATCTATAATACATTGTTATAGAATTTCTCTGATTTATATCCCAGCTGTTACACAGAAATAGGGAAAAGGAAAACTTTCTTCATTGAAATCTCAATTAAATGCATTAGCCCGCTGGGAAGAAGCAAATCGATATTGATATTTTATACTGCATCAGAACAGGCAATAAACCAAACTTCTTTATGACAAACGCTTCACTTCAATTACTGGATTGTAAATTTGAAACAAAAAAATTCTTGCACATAAACTTCCAGTGGAGATTATGCTTTGACGTTGTAGTTTGGTTTTGAAGGAGCTCAGTAATTGCATGTCTCACTGTGTGTTTTTTCTATGTGTTACAGGCAATTCTGCCCATTATGCTTATATGTCAGAATAAGTAAGCCCCATTTCCAGACATATCATAATGTCAAAAATTTATGTCCGTCATAAATTTCTGCTAGGTTAAGAAACTGTACATTTTAATAAGGGTTGGAGACATGAAATACATGCAGGAATTTGTAGTGGTGTAAGTTGGTTGTCATGTTTTTATGTTTGATTGCTGCAAATCTTTGATTTACTGTTGCGGGACAACATTGTTAAAATGGATAGGGCATGCATTTAAGTCACGCAAAAAAAAATTGACCTAGTAGCTCAATAATAAACCTGACTCAGTGAAATGGTCAATTATCGTTGACAATTCTTCAGTGCTCATTAAAATTCAAATTATTTTCCTCAATGCTGTATTATCATAAACAAGATTTTAATGATTTTGTAATTGTCAGTGTTATACCTGATTTAAGGAAGCTCTTTGATAATTGGTGAAAACATTTGGAGTGTATAATTGATAGGAGATGTGTAGAAGAGATAGAATGAAATGCACCTTATCAGCTAACTGTTAAATAGAGAACATGTACTTTAAGCAAATGCTTTTCACGGAATTTCCATTGATATATTTTTTCTGTTTCTCTGTAGGAGTTTATGAAAACTGCATGAAAGAAAAAAAACAATTTTTTTGGCAACCACCCCACACACGAATCTCCCTCCCATCTCTATTTAGATCTGATCTTTGTTAATCAACAGTCACGACTTTATCCTATGAAGTTTCATTTCAATTTCTTCTCTCCATCATTGCTATGGTTATGTTACTATGCCATTGACCTAGTTCTGAAAGAAGATGAGTGATAACCATTACTGTTTCATCTGCAAAAACATGTCTGATGGCTTGCCTGTACTCTAATAAGGGGGCATGATAAATATGACAGAATCTTGATATCATTCTGATATCACCCTTATAAATCAGATATTAAGAGAGAAAGAAAGAGAGGGGAGAGAGAAAGATGGGTTAAATATGTTTCATTTCAAGATTATCATGATTAGGTGCAGATCCTTTATCATAATGTAAGACAAATTTTGTTCAGTGTTTACAATTTCCTATGTATTTTGATATTTTAAAGATGTTACACAAACTTTTTGAGTAATATTTGGCATTGATTTTTGAAGAGTTCAGTGTATCTGAGACATAGGAAGTAAAGCCAAGGAATTGTTATGTTTAGTCAGTATTAACAAATGTTTTATCGTATATAGACCTGTTGTGTGAGAAGCTGATGTAATGATTTGTTTTTGTCCCTTTTCAGAAGTCCAGGCGGAGCCTACCCCCCAGTCTGATCCGTAGGATGTCCACCAGCACGTGGACTACCACCACCTCAGCTACGGGCATGCCCACGTTAGAGCTAGAGCCATGTAGGATCCGCAGCTCCAGCTTCCGTCACAACCGGGATGGAACACCGGGATCCAGTCCCGTCGGGAGTCGCAGCAACTCCCCGTCTCCAAGCTCTCCAACTGTGGTCCTATCAATTCCCAAATCCCGATCCTTCTCACTGGTCACTCCCACTCCCATCGGAGGATCGCATCCCAAGCGACCGACGAGGAAGAGTGTCACTTCTAACATGGGGACTGAAGTAAGTGGCATCTCCAAATCATCAGATTACAAACAACTCAGTCCATTGGTTAAAGATGAACTGGATTATGCTCAGGAAAAGGGGGACAAAAGGTCCACTAATTCGGCTTCATTTCGCAGAATTAATATGACTTCTGATTACGAGAGTAATGACTCCCCTAATTCTAGTGACCATAGTGATAATGTGACTGCTTATGATGAAGTGGCGGGGTCACCCCCTAAGAAGGTTATTTATAGCCATGGGACTACGTCTAGTTCACAAAAGTCATGGGTAAGTCTGTGGCCATGTTCACTGTATCTCTGTCTCTGTACTCAGGAGCACTCTGCATTACCTGCTTGCTGATCAAGTTCACATTCATTCCACTCTCATAAAAAATACTTGTTTGGATCAAAAACTGTCTACATTTGCATAAGAAACAGAAATGCTTCAAATTCACAAGATATACAATTTATAACTAGAAGCTTTATTTTATTCTTATTTAAGAAAATATATTTTGAGAAAAAAAATGCTCAGTAGCGGAAAAATGGAGCTCATTTTTGAAGTACTTTTATCATTCCTACCATCTGAATGAATGATTGAATGATTTGTAATGTAAATACATTCAGGTAAATGCTACAAGCAGTGGAATGAATGACAGAACTTGTGTATTTGTACCTGGTCTCTTTTAACTGTCAGCTTAGGAGCAGAAACAACTAATTCTGATGCAGATGAATGAAGTTTGTCCTCCTTAGTCCTGAGTAACAAGTCACCCAAACTCTAACCCTCACCCCTTCTTTCTCTGTCATTTCCTCTGCATCATTATTGGGTCAGCCAGTTTGCTTTCTTTTAATCTCTTGCTAGAGCTATACATTACGTAGTTTTGTAGTATACACTTGATGTCCAATGTAGATTTAGAAAGAGAGCATGTCGGTGTTATAAGAGTTTTTAAAATCTCTCAGCTTGTTTTTGGTGCCTGGGAACAGGATCCTTTGATAATATCAAGGGCAGAGGGATTCTTGAGCATGACAAGGTGGTCATCTGTGCTAAAAAGAATTTCATTTAGTCAGATATCAATGTGGTACAGGCATCTTGTTGTGAAGACAACATGTTTATGTACCTCGAAACATGTAAACAAAATTATTGGCATATTCTGATAGATACCATCATATAAACACAGGAAAATAGTTGTCACAACATTTAGTTATTAAATGAAGAATGAGGAGAATTATAAACAAAATCATTATAGATATTCCAACATTGCTGAAGATGGATTCAATCAGTGGTCCACATTATCAAGTGCAGCCCCCTACACCCTAATACCAGTACTTGATCTAGTGTTGTAAATCTATGTGAAGGGCCCTGGTGACATAACACCAGCAGTTGATTAAACATCGTAAAACCTCGACATACCTCACACTGATATTACATAGAGATCGATGATGGAATCTGGGGCTAGCTGAGAGTTTGTTTGTGTCTTTGCCAAGTGTTTTGTTTATCTGTTTGTTGGTACTAGCAGTAGCATCTGATTACACAAACACCAAAAAAATATGACAATGTTCAATGATTTTATAATCAATAATGGGTAGGTTAAAAAGGAGGATGGGACACAGAAACCATGTGTCAAATGTATACATGGCTCTTTATAGCAAAAAAACTGATCTTCATATGAGAACGTGGAAAAGAGTAGAAAGATACTGACAATTAGAAGATTTTAAAAACATAGAGATTATGTAATGACTGTTCCTAAATCCTTGTGAATTTGAATGTAAGCTGAGGAAGTTCTGTGGGCGGAGAGCTGACAGAGAAGACTTAACACCAAACGATGATCATATCATCACATAGGGAGCTGCCGTTAGCTCAGGATTTATCGCTTCCTGAGATAAGGCAGGTATAAGCTATAGTAATGTGTAAGGGTGAATAATCGACTCTCGTTAATTAATATCTCCAAAAAAATTAAAAAGGTAGCCACCAGGAACGGATACTATTGCAAAGCGGAAATGATCAGGTGAAAGACACACGACACATACATACTGTTGGAGGGATGAAGTGGGGTTCTGGGGTGATGTTGTCAGGGTTAGATTTGTCCTGGCCAAGGGTAATCCAGCAATGATGGATTATAGGATTGTATGTTGTTCAATATTTATCTCTTTTATCATGATTATCTAGTAGAAATGGAATAATGGAGTGAAAAATTACCCCAAAAAACCTATCCTTCCTTTTCTGTAGAAGTTAATGATAGATAATTATTGGGTGTTACTATTGGATGCTGAGGGCACTACAACAAACAATTTCCAATGCAAACAGTCAAGTTAAGTCGTGTCACAGAAAAGATTTATAAGACCTCAAGAACTGAAGTTAATTTCTGCTAATCTACACTGAGTCCTCTCTTCCAAATAAAGATTCATGACCCTGATTGTAGTTAGTATGTAGAGCATGCTGTGATGATTCCAGTCAGAGTGCAGTATCTGATATTGTACTTTCAGTCAATAGATGATGACAATCTACATTCCGCATACAGTATAATTTGATGATGACAGACCTTATAGGCATTTGTCCTCATTATGTTAAGGGGTCAGTATTCTAGGAAAGCTGAGTGCAAAAAACATTGATATGCAGACCTGAGAGTTATATTGCCAAAATAAAAACTGTGAACAGGAGCTGAGTGTCATCTGCTGAGACATTTATAAACGAGACTGAGGCAGTGGTTACAGTCTGGTGTAGAACATGAGAAATGAGTGATTCTGTATGACCTAGTGCTGGAACCTGAAGGGGGGACCGTGATTCAGTGATGAGGGGTCATCTAAGATCACCATCTACAAAGACTTACAAACGAGGTGTCTGCCCCCAAACAAAGATATAAGTAATAAAAGCAATCACCTTGCAACATTTAATGGATTAAAACAATCCCCTTGCAACCTGCTTACTAAATTAAGATGACTTGTCAAGACTTGGTGAAGTGTTTGCTGGTTATATAAATAACTTCAAGTGTTTAAAGATTTCATTCATGTGAAGGGTCACCTACCTGTCAGAGTTTTACAATGCATAAAGCGTTATTAATTCCAGTAAACAAGCGGAAATCAAAAATATAGGAAGTCCCAAGGACTTAACCACAACATACGCAAGAGCTGCTTATTTGAGGACCTGGTGAAAAAGGAGAGCTACAATGTTTTCTGTGAACTAATTGATTTCATTGTGTAACAAGTGTTATACATGTGGACTGTTCATTCCATGACAGTTTGAAACAAGACAGATAAATACCTGCATAGAATCATGGCATTACGAGAAAAACAGTTGTTATTTTGTGACTGGATTAAAAAGCTAAAAATTTGGTGTTGTAGGAAACAGGAGAGAAACAAGGTATTGCAATCCTGAATTGAATTTTGCATCAAGTGATCTGCTGTTGGAAATTATCATTGTTTCTAATATAGCTGTTTTCATTTTTTTTTTCATTGACCGACTTCATTTTCTCAATGAATTATGTATGCAGAAAGAAGCAAAAAAATTTCATTATTTTTTTCTCATTGGTCAGTCATTTTTTTTTATCATTCAGTCACTTAAGGAATTTTTTTTATCCAAGCTGATTTACACTTTGGAGTAAACATTTGCATTATTTTATCTCCTTTAGTTGATTGTAAAAAAAAAAAAAAGGGAACAAAAAATTAATTACACAAAAGTAATTACTAAGCAGTTGATGGACGAGAGTGGGGATTTTTTTTTCATAGTAATCTTACAGGGATAGGTTTTAATTCCTGACGTCAGCCTCTGACACTGTATCAACATCAGAAAACGAGGCTCTTCACCTCCTCTTTGTCTCCAGTCTTTGTCATTAAGTCCTCATCTCACAGACGGCACCAGCTAAGGGACGTCCATGTTGCTCCAGATTCGTCACCGCCCAAACTGCCGGCTGTCTAGCGGGTCATTAACCTCTGCAACCACACAAAAATTAGGTGCTGTGCATTGCCAGAATTGAAGAGCTTGTTGACATTTTATATATATTTATAGATAATTTTTTTCATTACATTTGAGCAGTGTTGGTTGCTGGTTATGATGTTCAGTCTCTGACACCATTGACCTTATATCTCGAAAGTTCACACTGATCTTTGACCATTTATAGAAAGATGCTGAGGTTTCTGTTCTGTCATACAAGAGTTTTGTGGTTCTGGGGAGGTAGCTTTTGAATGCTGATAATGTTTGTTTGTTTGAAGTTTTTATCCATAAGAACATTGTTGTTCACACCTTGGCCATTCCTTGATTTATTTGATTAAACAGTCAGGTGCTTTGATTAGAAAAAAATAAATATGTTTACCATTGTCAAGATCTGTGATTTGCTGGTAATCAGCTGTGAATTTACCTTCCAGGGTTTCTATCTATATTTGTGAAGCACACATAATTGCTTTGTCTTGATTCAGCTTTCCATTCGTGTCTATAGAATCAGTAGCATGTTTTGCATGAAGAGTAGCATCGTAGTAGGTCTATTTTCAGTCTAGCTCCTAAGATTTTGTTTACACTTTTTCCCTGTTGATGACAAAAAAGTTTTTAAGATTAAAAGTTCTCTGAGAAAATAAAATGTTGGAGGCTTTGGGAAATGCAGAGGTTCCATGGACCCATAACAGGAAGGTCTAGGCTTGACTACCAAATATACAAAAGTTGCTTATTTAGTGAAACTAGAATCAATTCTAGACTTTCACTTGAAGGACAAGAGCTCTGGATGAATCGAATCCCTCCTCGGATGATCTATATAATAGACAGGTTTTGTCGAGTTGATGAGCAACTCAAAGTTACTCAGTAGCACCATGGCTATTGATGTTGCTATAGCTATTGAGAACTGAAAATAACGTATTCTTATGGCTGATTGCAAACAAAAGGTAGAGATTCTGTAGTTCTAGGGGGGGGGGGAATCACTGTGTTCAGTACGCCTTACTCCAATGCTCTTGATGGTATAATATCATTGAATCACATTGTATGTGATAATATAAATGTTAGACATAGGAACTAATAAAAACTATTGTATTAAATTGTTCTAACATGTTCACTTCCCATATTTATTCACCTGCAAAGGACAAAATACAATACCTTTTATCTCCATTAATTTAATTAATTTACTGGTTTTTCTATAATTTCTCAAAAATTGATAACCACTTTTATATACTGGTATTTGATTTTTTTGAAATGAGAAAATGTTTCTTGGATGTGAAAGTTACGATATTGATTTTATTTCAAGGATAATTTGATTCAAGTATACTTTTCCCCTTTTTTCTTTGTGAGCATTTAAAAACTGATGGTTTTACGTCATAGCGTGAATTATGACACTGTGACCCCCTTGTCTTCCTCGATACTTGATGGTACTACTACACTAGTACAAGTACTGAGTTATTGTTTTATTCATTGTAGGTTATACTCGACAGACGTCTGAAGGAAAATGTGGACATGGCGGAGGATGCAGACGAAGAGGACGAGAGCGAACTAACGGCAGAGGAAGTGGACGGCAAAACTTCCGTCACGTCGCCCAACGCCAATAGTGTCAATCTTCCGTGGGAAATCGAAAATATTGACGATTGTGAACTTTTACATATACACAGACTTAATGAATGGGATTACCCCATTTTTGACTTAGCAAATCAATGTAGTGATACTATTCTTAGCAAGGTGAGTTTTCATTTGTATACGTGAGTTCTTTTGATGATTATAGTTCTTTGTTTCTTTAAAATGTTGATCACTCAGAACATTGAAAAATCTTTAAATTTGAAAAATTAATTGTCTTGAAAATCAACAAAGCACAACCAGTGCCGATTTTTGATTGAGTAGAGTACATGAATTTGGATTTGTTGACTATCCTGGGAAAAATAAATGTCAGATGTCAGCCTCTAATAAACATGATAAAAGTAACTTTTAGTAAACAATTGGTAAATTTTGTATAAAGTTGTGATAATGTGTAAAGTTTGCCTTGACAGGTTGGGTATAAATTATTTCTGGAGGTGGGATTATTTGAGACATTCCGGATTCCTGTAGCACCCTTTTTACATTACTTCCATGCATTAGAAAAAGGATATCGAGATAAACCATGTGAGTACACTAGTGTGGACTGTGGTATACAGGAAATAGTCATGATGCAATGTTAGCATTTCACAACCATTGGAGCCCCAACATTTTATTTATTGTTGGTCAACTTAAGAAAGGAAAAATTATTTACTATACTTATATTTAACTAAGTTTCTAGTTGATTTGACAAACTGTGCAGTATAATTATATGTATATATTTACTATATATCAATAACTTTATTTGGAGGTTCTAGATCATTGAAGGGTTTACCTATATAAATGTATGTTTTTTACAGATCATAATCGAATACATGCCACAGATGTGTTACACGGGGTGTTCTACCTCACCACCCAGCCCATCCCGGGCTTCACCCAGGTCAACACCAGTACTAACATGTTCTCACGCAACGGGTCATCCAGCGATTCAGGTACTTACTCAGGTGAAGATCTAATCTCTACTACCATTAAAACAGGGGGAGGGGGTGTAAGGTACCATTCAGGTACTTACTGAGGTGAAGATCTAATCTCTACTACCATTAAAAGCAGGGGGAGGGGATGTAAGGTACCATTCAGGTACTTACTGAGGTGAAGATCTAATCTCTGCTACCATTAAAACAGGGGGGAGGGGTGTAAGGTACGATTCAGGTACTTACTCAGGTGAAGATCTAAACTCTATTACCATTAAAAAATAGGGGGGGTGGGGGAGTATAAGGTGGTAGCTCTAAAATATATTTGAAACGTTTATCCATTATGTTGCATTTTTTTAGTATTCATTGAAGATTAACTTCACATACTCTGGATATTTATTTTAACAGTGTATACTGTGTGATGTAATTCTTATCTGGAAAGTTATTGTAGGAGTGGATATATATCTTATTCTCTACAGTTTTATTGCTAGCTTAAGCTTAGGTTTTGGTGCTAGATTCAGCCCTGTAACTAAAACAGATTTCATTTCTACATGTAATATTTCATCAAAATGAATCTGAAAAATAGTTTTATTATCCCTGTCTTTTGACTTTTTCCCTTCGTCTGATAAATTTTGCCTGAATTGTTGTAGTCAGAAATATTCGGATTATTTTGCTGGAATCTGTCTGCGATGATTTCCTGATAAGTTATCTCTTAAACTGGCTACTTGTAATTTCATGACAAGTAAACTCAGGAATATTTCTGTGATTGGTTTGTAAAAAAGAATGCAAACACTGGTGCTATGTTTTTATTTTGAAGTTGTTTTGGGAGAAAAATTGAATGAAAAAAATTGAGATTTGTCAAGTGCTGAGAATGATTAAATATATTAGGCATTTTCTGAAGTTTGCTGAATTAGCTGTCAAAATCTGACTATCTACCAAAGTAATGTACCCCTTGCACTTGCCACAAAAAAGAACAGTCTTTGCTGGAACCATTGAGAATTCACAGATAACACTTGATAGATATATATTCTTTTTAGTTTGTGCCACATAAAGTGGTGTACTTTTGTTATAATTAGAAATAGATGTTTTTGTTTGATTCTCAGCACAAGTCTTGTTCTCTTCCAACTTCTTCAGACATATACATGGTTATGAGAGATATAGACGTTCAGCTGTAGATTTGATATTCTTAGTACCATCAGATTCTCTCTGCTACTCCTGTGGAATATTGATGTCTTTATTCTTGTTTGAACTGATTAATGATTTGAGAAAAGCCAATAGTGATGACAAAGAAATCTTAAATTTATCCTGAAATAACTTATCTCACTCTATAAGCTTCACATTTCATATAGTTTGGCAAATGTTTCCATCCTAGTTCAGCATTTTAGATGCCAGCTTTCTTCATGGACCACAAGGAATTGGCTGATACGCCCAGCCAATCCTTCAACAAAAAAGTCATCTTCCAAAGGAATGAATTTAATATCATTGAGAAAAAAACTTGGGTCTCACATGATTGAATGACCAATTATAAGCTAATTGATTGGTTGTCATTGACCCCAGTGCTTTACATCTATTGGTTTATTGACAAAAAATGATTGAAGTCTGATTGCCGTTCTCCTGAAGGTTACAATGAAGTGACTGTGATGAAGGAGATTGCGTAGTTTCAAGTAGATTGTTACCGACGGCACCGTGTAATTCATGGACTGGAGTCTTGGAGTGGAGTTTGGAGTCAATTTTGGAGTCTGAGATTTTCTTTAAACATAATTATGCAGAATTTTTTTTTCAGAAATGGCATTTGTATGATTGTCTTTAATATTCTAAAATAATCTATTGGCAAGATAAACCTCTAATTTAATAAATATTTGGTACATTTGCATATACATTGTAAGTATGTTGAACCTCATTATTGAACTAATAACCACCTAAATCAAAATTAATTGATAACTTCCTACAACTATTAACCTAAATAAAACTGAATGGTGATGTGATCAAAGACCTAATAATTCTAACAAACCGTTGTAATTTATAATATCTTTTCAGCTAGGGGTCATGTCACTACATGTAAAAAATAAGTCAATTAAAAGCAATGTAATTTTTTCAATTTAATATACCCCTCTTAGAAACCAGGAGTGAATATAGTAATGGGATGTCTGTCCGTCCATCTGTCTGTACCTCAGTCCGTCTGTTACGCTCTGTTGTACCCTCAGAGAATCTTTATTATATAATGCCATTGTGCACTTCCTATTTGGCACATATTTTGGGTTTCCCATTGCAAAACATGGAGACTGCCATAATATTCATATGTGAGGCAGGGGTATCATTTATGTCTTGAATAAACAAAAAGAAAATGAAAAGAGGGTGCAGTGTGTTCTGCTTAAATGATTTTTGATGGTTGTAAGGCACTCGTATCCCTTATACAATACTCTCAGAATGTTTAGGGTATTATTTTATAAGAACTTCATAAAAATGATAGAAGTTATTATGTATGTGTACAAATTTGCAAAAATCAAACAACCTTGTAACAGTTTACTAACCTACATATACAGCTGTGTGGTCCAAATCCTGTAAAAGTTTTAACAGACATAACAGAGATGTGACAGAAAGGTATAATTTAGATTAGGGGTTTTATCACCTTCCAATTATGCACTGAAAGCAATAGGGTTCATAATTGATATTATATAATAACAGTTAAATTTAATTAAACAGGATATACTGTCACTGTTTTAGGTAACATACTAGTAATAATTAATAATGAAAGATCTTTCAGTTACATAAACTCAAAGAATTGTTATTCTAAGTGTTACATAATTATGTTTAAAGAAAATCTCAGACTCCAAAAATTGACTCCAAACTCCACTCCATAACTCCACATACTTACAATGTATATACAAATGTACCAAATATTTATTAAATTAGAGGTTTATCTTGCCAATAGATTATTTTAGAATATTAAAGACATTCATACAAATGCCATTTCTGAAAAAAAAATTCTGCATAATTATGTTTAAAGAAAATCTCAGACTCCAAAAATTGACTCCAAACTCCTCTCCAAACTCCACTCCATAACTCCACTCCAAGACTCCAGTCCATGAATTACACGGTGCCGTTACCGACTGGCTGTAGAAGTTCTTGTGGAAATAGACTCATTCAACAAAATGACACACTTAACTGTTTCACAAACAAGCTATAAAAGTTTGACTAAGAAGTATACTGTAATGAGGTCATTAATGAAAACAAGTCTGTGATTTGTAAACATGTGTCCTGGATTTGATAGGTTTGTTAGCTGTAAGATTGGATGTCATAGGCAAGTGTATACGTGCTGGATGGCATCTGTTTCAATTTGTTGGAGAAATCGGAGCCTGTTTTTCTGCTCTTACTATCTATTATGTGCCCTGATCACGTCATGAAATGTTGTCTCCGAATCTCCTAGAAATGTTTATCTTCTCTTCTGGGAGGTTGTTGTCACATCCATAACATTTGAAATATCTGAAAGTATGATTAAATTTTATTAATACATGATAGCAAGTGTATTGTTAGAAAAAATTCTCATTATTTTAGCTCTTCAAACATAGGAATTAGATTTCATCTTCATATTTTAAAGACTAAAAAGATGGTATTGATGTAATAATGTAGTGACGTACAATTAATTTTTTACCCCATTTTATATGACTCTTGTCTCTCCCCACAGATGTAGAGAACGCAGAAAAGAGTCTGACATACAGAGCCAACAGCTTCGCATCGGAGGACTATGGAATCATGGGAGGAAACTTCCCGGCACTGGAACTGATGGCGCTATATACAGCGGCAGCCATGCATGACTTCGACCATCCAGGTCGCACCAATGCTTTCCTTGTGGCTACAAATGCTAAAGAGGTAAAGAATCTGACTGAACAAGAGAATTGGTTCTTGTTGTCATTGGAAACGGCCCTGTCAGAGTTCATTTTTATCGGAAATTGCTAGGGGGAAAGGTATTGCATCTATTTTGGTATCTTAGAATGCAAATGTAATCATTATACCCACTATACCCACATTGTTATTTCTGTGAATTGTGTCAACCAAGTGCTTACATTGTCTCCAATAAACCAAAAAATGGCAGGTACAAGTGTACTAAGGTATTTATGAGAGTTAAACCAAAAATAATTAATATTATGTTGCATCTTTGAATAATAATTTTGATTATTAATTTGATGCAACTGAAACCTAATAGAAAAAAGGGTATTACCTTTCATTTGTCGCTAATTTTTTATCCAAACTGAACAGACGTGATATTGCATCAGGGTAGGGTAAGGCTGTGTTTGAGGTCAAGGTTATAGATAGAGGTCAAATCTGTAGACTGAAATTCTTCATTGAACATTTCATTTGGTAAAATTTCAGCGAGTTTTGATGAGATTTATATTCACAGTATGTTTGATGAAGATACAGTTCCACAAATGTTATTGTCTGCAAACTTTTCAAACAGGCAGTTAAAAATCTTAATTAAGAGGTACATACACTTTAGAACATTAGCCCTTCGAATTTAAGTGACATCTTACAGAAATACGTTGAGTAATGTAGTGGTTAGGTGCAGTTTTTGTAGCTGACACAAAACATCTATTGACAAATTTAAACCCTTAGGCTGTAATGCTATTGTATGAAAACTCTGTAACTATCCTTGAGTTGGGACTAAATTAAGTTTTAAACTTCAGAGAAGTAAATAAAGTTTCCAACTGGCTGTTTTTTTTAAGAGTCTCATTTAAGTCACTCAAAGGAATTTTGAACCATTTCCAAATGCAGTTATTTTTTTGTAAACAACCTCAGTGCCAAGTCGGCTGAGGATCTCCCCGAATTAAAATGGTGAGAATTTGATATCTTTACATTGTCTGACGTTATATATCTAGATATTGGGACAAGCCATTAACATACAAATGGACATTTTAGTCTGGATATCTTTTTGTCTTGCTAGACATTTAAAGCCTGCATCAATTTACCAATATAAACAACAAACAAGATCAGTATATTTTGGTATATAAACGTATGTTTTACAGAGAGGGATTACATTTATGTGGTTAATTTATGTATAGTTGTAATTCTGTTCAATACTCAAATCACAAGTGTCGTATTGTGCACAATCTGCCATTTGATCCGGAGAGGCCAACAGGAGCACATCATTTCTATGTACCTTCTGCTGCGTAATCCTTATAAAATTTCCAATTACAATCATTTTAAATGTGAATTTGATATTGATTATAAAGCTTTACTGTAATGCGATCAGTTACTGTCGTTGAGGGGGCGTTCAAGGCCCATCAGTCAATATCCACATTACCCTGAGGTTAGTAGAGCATATCTCCAAACCAGGCAAAAATAATGGGATTTTTCAAGGCTATGATATTCGAGATGAAATTTTCTGTAGTAATAAAATGCTGCGTGGACGATGACAATGCTTATCAACAATTGGATAATTCTTTACAAAATTTGAGAACTCAGGAGATAAATATTTTTAATGTTGCTTGTGTTGTTAGCACAATGATTCTGCACATTCTAATGTAGATTTGATTGCTTATTGAAATGCCTTGTATGATTTTAATGAATTCTAGCCAATACCTCCAGGTGTAATGAACACAAGTCTCTAAATTAAAAACTCTTTTTATCAGTTGTCGTGTGACCTTGATTGTTTTGTTGCTCAGTCAGGAGCAAAATATAATTATGTTTTATGCTTTGTCAAGTATTGGCATTGTTCTGTCTGTGTTTGTGTAGTTATGAATGAACACGTTGTAAGGGAGGTAATCCCTATATAACTACAAGGAATTGTGTTGCATGACCCATATGCAGTTGATACTTTATATGGTAATTTTTTTGTAGGCGGTGCTATACAATGATCGGTCAGTATTGGAGAACCACCATGCGGCCCAGGCGTGGTCCCTCTTTATGAAGGAGCCTGTCCTCTACAACTTTTTGTGTGGACTGGAGGCCGCCGAATTCAAGAGATTCCGATTCCTGGTCATAGAAAATATCCTAGCCACTGATCTCAAGAGGCATTTTGAAATTCTCGCGGAATTTAATGCCAAGGTAAAATCAAAATTAATACACTGTACATGCAGGTTTAACTTTCTTAAATTCTTTCAGAGATCCAAAGTATTATCTTAAGGTAATTGTGTTCATTTTGTTTTTGTTATACCTGACTTTACCTTTTGATTTTTATACCTGACAGGTAAATGACGAGGATGCTGTGGGAATAGACTGGACATCTGAAACTGACCGGCTACTGATGATGCAGATGGTCATCAAACTAGCAGACATTAATGGACCTGCCAAAAAACATGACCTTCATGTTCGATGGACAGAAAGAATCTCAGAAGAATTCTATGAACAGGTAAAGGCAGAACTCTGAGAATTTGGCTTTGAATCATGCTGGACAATGATATTGTTATGAGGTATTCTATTGAGGTAAACTTGTGCGAGAATTGCTTCTATATTTTATTCTTTTTTCAGGGTGATGAGGAGGCTAGATTAGGTATGCCCATTTCTCCATACATGGATCGGCGAATTCCACAACTAGCCAAACTTCAGGAGACCTTCATTAACCACCTGGTGGCGCCCCTGTGTAACGCCATGGTAACGGCGGGATTCCTGCCGGGGACGTGGGCAGACGACCAGGAGATCAGTGACGAGGAAGTGGAAGGTAGGAAGGTGGCCTTAATTATAACCAGTGTTTTCCCTAAGAACCGGCTACTGGCCAATTTGACCACTTCAATTAACAAAAATGCAGCTTTGAAATAAAAATTTGTTGTTAGGTCCACAGAGATTTTGATCATAAACATCAGTCCCTAGCCTGTTACAACTGATCTCTAACCTTTAACTTTGAAATAAAGGGAAAACACTGTATAACTGGGTTAAAAGTAGAATAGAAGAGATAGCAAACACATAAAGTGGGTCTTATAACTGGGTTAAAATGGAATTGAAGAGATATCTAACTCTTGAGCAGAGTACACCTTATAAATGGCGAATTACTTGCTTGAAAAAAAAAAACAACAACAACATGATAGCACATCACAGGGACTTGCACCTGGCGTGTAATAATAATTTTTTTAAAAACTCATAAATGGTAATACTATTATAGAAAATAACGAGATATTTGATTTAATTTTTTTTATTTTATCAAAATCGAAGCTTTTATTTTTAAACTAAAAGGCAAAAATTGTATCTGCAGAGAAATATTACATATTAATTTAATATGATAATAGGAAAAAAACGATAAAAAGTAAAATGTATGAAGCAAACATTAAAAATTATCTTTTTATTACATGTCAAATGAAAAATATGTATCTGACTTTCTCTGTTGTTTTAGACCATTCTGACATAGACCAGCTTGACCACACTGGTAAAGACTCAGAGGAGGAGACGGAAACTGACGGAGAAACGGGGCCCATCTGTCACCAAAAATGTAAAAAGAAACCGCGCAAAATCAACTGTCTACTGACTAAAAACCTAAAGGAGAACCACGAGTACTGGGTGGCAAAGATCCAGGAGGAGGAGAAACAGAAAGCTAACAATGACTCAACCAATGAATTATCTCAGGTCAGTCAGCCAATCAAATATCAGAATTAAGTCAGATAGCCAATCAAACGTCACAATTACAACAACCAATGAAATTTCAAATTTGGTCAACCAGTTGATGTCACAAGTAAGTCAAACACGTAAAGTCCTAAGACAAATCATTTATCACAAAGTGCTTGAACCAGTTAAACCTTTCATAGTACATGTAATACATGTAGGTCAACAAAATATCAAAAGTCAAACAGTGCAATACATGTATCACGAGTAAATCAATGCTTCAAATGTCATGTTTTACTTACGAAGTCAATCATTGAGCCCTTACATTAATTGATAAAATATTTTTAAAAATCAGCAAATCTCAGTTAAACAAAGATCAAATAAGAAATTTTTACCTTTTACAGAGCTGCCAACCCTTACGATTTTGGCATAAGGCGTACGAAATCAGCGTCTAAAATACGCCTTACGATTTCTCTCTATATTCTTCCGATTTCAGTTTTTCTCGCTCAAAGTTTATAATACCGGTATTTTCATAGCTGGCAGTCCATAGTTTCTACATTATAATGTATTCATATTTCTTACAATGTTTGCTTGTATCATGGTTTCAGTTTTAGAAGACCAGTCACATTCATGTAAATGTTTTATTCACCAATGAAGACAAACTCATTATAAAGAGGCTTCATTATCAAAATACTTCAAATTCTTGATAATTTGATTAAAACTGGTACTACTCTGGTAGACCTATTGAAGGCTATAGAAAATATTGTATTGCCTGTAGTGAAAACAATATTTTATTTATAGCAGGAAACACAAGAGGTGACTGAGATGGAGTCGATAAAAGAAGAAGTGGAATCCCAGGCTTCTAATAATAGCACCCAACCCAGCACCCCAACCAAAGACTGTAGCCAATCAGAAGCCACGTAACAGCCCCACCCATCACTAGTTCTACAGGCTTGTTCAAAAGTGGTTCAGATCTCATGCCATTATCCAGATATCTAAAACTCTTGCCATAGTATGATATCTATAGCATGGATCTAAAGTTGTCTCTGTGTGACACACCTTAAGTGAGCCCACGTTAATCCTGTTTGTCGTTTATTGTGCTGATCATATTTCAGGCGTGAACTACAGCATCACTCAAAAGTGGTGGATGTGGAATCAAATTTCCACCACTTGTACATGGAGGAAATGTGGAGCTCTTCCAGAGAGTGGAGATTTAATCGTTAGTGGATGTAGCCAAAGCAGCAATTAGTGTCCAACAGGAATTCATAGTTAACTTCATGTTTCACATCAACACTACAGACCTGTTCTTTTCCCACTGTGTACTTAGAATTTCCAATTTTACTGTGTGAAGAACTGACTTCTTTTAGCGATATTGATGCGGTTTTATTTATTATTTTTAACAGCTGAAATATTTTACTACAATATATATTTTTCCTTTTTTAGACCAAAGTATTTCTTTTAGCAATTCCACTCAGTGCAAAGTGCATATTTATTCTTGAGACATTTTATCTGAGGTATTTACTTGCTGTTTATAGTGTACTAGTCAAAGTCTTAGCTTCTATGTACTTATTAACATCTCTACACATGTGCTCTTTAACCATGTGCAGGAGATGTGGAAAAGTCCTCAACTAATGCCAGCAGTTCAATACTGACTTTTCTAGAAATAGGCAGATGTTTACTTAGATAATGTTTTTTATAAAGATTGGAATGAGGGAATTCTGTAGAGAGGAATCATCTCAATAGAGAGAGTAGATCTGATGTGATTTTTATGTGTATAAGTGCTAGATCTTATAGGAGGCAGCAGTTAAGTTGAGATACTTCTGAGATACAGAGATCTGAGATATTGTCACATGGATCTGTTATGTTGGAGTTGTACTGAGATGAATGAGACAATAGATCTGTTGATGTACCACTGAAGTAGGAGGAGTTTGATCTGTAATGTAGTATATCATTATTTTGTGATTCTGTTTGACGACTGTACATTCCTTTTTCTGCGTACGACATTGGACTGATAATGACAGGCTTTCACCTGTTACTGTCTTTCTTTTGACTCTTTTATAATCTGTGTGTATAAATAGGCCTATAGTTACAGAGAGCTAACTCTGTCATTAAGTAATACAGTCTAATACAAAAATTTTGGAAAAGTATTAATAAAATTTAAAACAAAGAAATCATAAAGAATCCAACATCTGCAGCTATATATGTCAGTTTAAGATGCTGAGAACGAAATCTTACTACACCTCTGATTGGATGTCGTATGACAGATGCTTGTTTTCTATAGCAATAAGCCACTTCCTACGTAGGATTAACTCTTGTCACAGTTGAATTCCTATCGTGGGAACACAACTGTGTTGTTATTTATAAGCTGTGATACATAATGTCGTAGAGTCAAATAAAAGTCTCTATTTTTTTTTTCCCTTCATTCTCCATCCATTTTCATCTAGAACTCTGATATTATTATCATACAATGCCAATATAATCTGTATAACTGTAGTCGTTAGGTTATTACAATTGTGTGGTTGTACTTGTTTCTTGATGTATTAAATACTTTGTTTTGATGCTCTCCCTTCCCAGTTCTCAGTAATATTTACATATATCTACATGATCTTCACTCATAAAGCCTACATCTCTCGGAAAACTGCTACAGTTAATAGGCTTCGGTTATAATTCTCCCATCATTTTTCCGAGTTGAAGCCATTTTTTGCTCTTATTTATTATGTGGTGTAATTTGAATGACAAACTATTGTAAGGCTTTTTTGTACAATATTGTTGGGCGCTTTCAGTTTTTAGACTGCTATAAACCTTTTTTTTTTAATTGAAACAAAAATACTCATAGACTATTATATATCGACTTACTAGAACTGAGGTTTAAAAAATCCAGGTGTCTTTGTCCTTGACCTAGTTCCAAGGTCAGTGTCTGTTTTTTAATCCATTTATGTAGGAATTGTACATAGCAACTTGTTATTAAAGAATGTACATGATAACCTAATTTAATGATAGATAGATGTGTATTGTTTTGTCTGTGTATATATGTACGTGTTATATATAGATATATAAAATCCATTGTTATTTTGTAACTCTATAGGGGAAGAGTGGGCTGCCAAGTGCTAATCTTTTCTCATATCAGGAAAAACAAACATGCTGAACTGTTAACTGCATTTGAATTTTTTTTTCTCCTTTGGGATAAATTTTTTTTGCTGCAGTCCCTGCTTATTTCCATTCCAAAATTTATCACATAAAAAATTTATTATAATTTGTTGCCATTTTGGCAATCTGCAGTGTTACTTCAGCCTCAGTCAGCCCACTACAAAGTCATCTGTACGACTTTTTTGTTGCTCAGGTTCCATTTTTATTTTAATTTATAACCTCTGACCTCCATTTGTTGACATTGTTTCTATAGCTTTGAGCTGACTCTGTTTATTCTGCCACCAGGGGTCTCTCACTCCTGTCCCAAGCCAATCAACTTTAAGTAATGAGCTGCTGTACAACCAACAAATTGCTCACATCGTCCATGTGTGTGATTTGCTGATCTGTATACTACATGACCTAATTACTATGTAGGTGACCTTGCATGGTGATTGGAGGTCAAATGAAATGTTTTGTTAAATATTATATCTATCTTGTGACAAACTGTTACAGGATTATTTCCTGAACAATAGCTGATAAAAAAAATAAATGGTCATAACTGCTATTTTTATTGTGTTTGTGTTTTGTATGTTAGATTGGTTATCATTACATAAGAAGCATTTCCAATTTAGCTTGGACTTTCAGAAGTTTTGATCATTCTGCATCACCACTCTGAAAGTGATATACATGATAGAAATTCGGGCAAATGCCAATTAGTGCATCAAATAACCAATAACATTGTATCGTCTGGCAAAGAGGTGAAGCTTAAGTTGTCTCATCCTTGTCAACAGTTTAAAGTTCCTGATGTTATTAATTTTTTAACCAATGATAATTTATTTGCCGTTTGACAGATGGTAATTAAATAGCACAGAGAATGCCACACCTTACTGAAAGTCCAAGCTTACCTGGAAATGGTTCTGTAAACTGCATTGAAGCATAATTGTAGAAGTTTAGATCAATCTACACACATCCACTCTCAAAGTGATTTTGAAAGGATGGAGTTATGCATTGACAATGGGAATTTCCTTATTGAAAAAACTTGCACATCTGTTAGAATACCAGTGGGCAAAAATTGTGCTCCTTTATGAACTGTTGTTTTCCATTTTATAAAAAAAATTGCAACATGTAGTTGTTTCCCATCCAATATTCAGTTATCTTCACTATTACCCTTTGCATTCTTCACAAAGCACAGAGAAGGCTACAATTCTTGCTTAAACAGAAAACTTAGATAATATGTATGCCATTGTAATCAAGAATTAGTTCAAATATGAAAACAACAATTTTAACCTTGCTGAGTAATATACGTTTATTAAGACTGTACAAAGTCAGTGTTGACTAATAAGCTTTGGGGGGATCATTTTACACTGAGTCCGATCATAGTTGATGAAGACGGGGTGAACAGGCTGACCCCTCAGACAGGAAGCGAATTCTAGGTCACACTCGCACACATCACGGGCACAGGATCCAGGGGAATCTACCAATGATGAAACCAGATTATTTTTATCTATGAGGAATATATGAAATGTGGTGCACTGAAAGGGATTCTTGGAGGGAATGAGTTTCAACAAGGCAAAGGAGCAAGCCTGAAAATGTGAAATTAAGCTTCTCATTTATAGCCTTTACTCAATTGCCCTGTTGTCTTCCCAATTTTGCTTCTTAGCCTTTTTGTCCCCAATTTTTTTCCTTTTCTTTATGGGCTAGAGAGAAGCCCTTTCACTGCACCATAATTGAGAAAATTGACAATGTTTTAATTTTCATGAGTTATATTTAAGGACATATGATACAAACAAATTTTTTCTCTGAAAAAGATTTAATATCATGTCACGAGTTTGAAAATGTGAAATTTTTTCCCGATTAAATAGACTAAAAAATCTTTTTTATAGAAAAGCAAATATAGACAAAACACATTCAATATAGGTCTACAGGTGAAAACAAATTTCAAAATATGTTATCTTGGCGCTTAAAGTGTAATATAAACTTAAGAAAAATATACTAAGCCAGGTGAATTTTAAGAGGAAGATCAAAATTACCAAAAATTAGCAATATCACATATGCAGATTTTTACCATTTAGCTTTTCCTAATAAAATTCACCTGGCTTGGTATATTTTTCTTAAGTTTATATTACACCTTAAGCACCATGTTAACATGTTCTGAGATTTGTTTTCACCTGTAAACTTTTACTGAATGTGATTTGTATATATTTGTTTTTTCATTGAAATATTACTAATATTTTCAAAGTCTTTTTCATATTCCAGTTCTTAGGAGAAAAAATTATACATTTAAACTTGTGACATGATATTAAATCTTTTTCAAAGAAAATATTTGTTTGTATCATCTGCCCTTAAAGCATTTTCTCTGTATGAAATTATTTCATTTGTTTCTGAATGAATCAATTCCCAAACCAGAGGAAGGAGGGGTTGGAAAGAATAGAAACTGACAATGTGCTGAACACAGATCTATTATTAGAGCTGAGTAAGTTTCGTAGACATACCTGTGCACTGGCATTCTTGTGTTGTAGAATTGCATGATGACCCAAACGGGACAAACTGAGCCCCGAAGTAGCAATTTACTCTCCCGTAGCACGAGTCATGTTTTCTGCAGCAACTGTCAACAGAAGAAAAATAAAACATCTTTATTTCCTTAACAAACTGTAGCATTAAAAAACAATGCGGGAAATGAAAAGAAAATATATTTGTCCTTCACCAAAAAAGGGACGAGGAAAAGCTGACCCTAGAACGCTGGGGAGGGGGGTCAGTAAAGTTTTATTACGCTGCAGGTGGTTGACCCCCTCCCAAGGTACTTTTTGTTGCTCTAGTTGAGCACTGGCTAATTCCAGCATTTGAAGACTAAACATGTACCAAAATGTAAGAGAAAGCCCCCATCCCCCAAAAATGAATAAAATTTTCAAGTTTGTTACAGACGTATTTTTGTCAAAACTTTTGGGAGATTGCACCTCTTTAAAACCGTTGCTACGGTCATGGGAAGAGAGTGAATGAGTCCTTTTAGTTTTGTTGGCGGTGACTTTCAAAGGTTAGTGCATATTGATAACCTTTGGTTGTTGACCAGTCGGTGTCTCGACTGGGTGGCCGTGTACATACTGTCAACAATATATTGAACTTTTGGTACATCGACCTTGAATAAATGTTCAAGTATCCTTTGACAGTTTATGAGGAACTTAACATAAATGTTCATCATTCGAGTACATTATACATGCATGTACATGTGTCCTCAGTGAACACATTAATTAAGGTATGTATGTACAATGCCTACATGTACACTAGGTAAAGACATGACACCATTTAATCATATATGATACATATATCCAACGTACAGACATGAGCAATTTGATATTTGTCCATAAATATTTCTTTCCCCATCCTCTTGGCTTCATTCTTGGTTTACCAATAGAACTTGGTATACGCGCAAGGTTTGCAATGAGACTGAATGCTCTCTCTCTCTCTCTCTCAGATACAATATTTTTGCACCAGATTTTATAAAATGTCATTTTTAAAGAAAAAATATAAAGGCTCACCCATCGACCCTGTCCACTGCCTTATAACCGACCTGCCCGTAACCACAGAAACAGCCGTAGTCATTGTAATCGTAACAAGAATTCTGAGTGTAAAACTGAATCAGGTCACACATCTGAAAGACGCTCCGCTTCTCCACACTTCTTGCTTCCCCGAGGTATACTGGTAAAAAGAAAATGTTGCTTTTCAGTACGATTGTTTTCACTTTGTTTTTCCTGCAATAATTATGAAAATGTAAATTATGAACAAAAAGTATTTACCTGAGATAAATACAATTAAGGTTGCTGTGGATATTTGTCTGAGATTCGCCATCCTGATTTCCTCCTAACTCAATTATTGGTCCTGGAAGAGAAAACGAGAAGACTACTTCGAATACGTCACTTGGTTTAACTAGACACAGAGTATGTCTGAGGGTCACGATGGAAAGCTAACAAGAGGGTAGTTACACACAGACGAGACCTTCTGTTGATACAGTCTGGACTTTCGGACTGATTATGAGATAAAGAAGATAAATAGTTTACCAATCAAAGTACCTATCATCATGTGGCTATAATTGTTCGTTATATAGATAACTGCGGATTTACCTAGAAGAATCCACAGAACACGATAGCAATGAAAAAACTGTTCATTTAAGTTTATTTTCAATATCATAAAAGTTTAAACTCCCCCCCCCCCCCCCCCCCCGTTAAGATCCGCTTTTGCCAGTTCAAGACCAATCGCACACGCAAATGTATCAAAAGTTACCCAAAGTGAACGACCGTACGAGTCATTGAACCGAACTCACTGGTGCAGTTAGAATGCAGCATGTTAAGATCATGCAAACTTGCATAAAATATTTCAAAATATTATTATGTTGATTATTTGGCAAAGAATTCCAATTAACCCACTTACCTGGCTAACTTCAAAATAACCGGAATGGGTGCTGCTGAAATATATGCGTCAGTTATATACCTCAAAGAAAAATATTTTGACATTCATCCATCTAGAATTGGTTTGACAATCTAAAATAAAAACAAAGAGTCACTGAAATGGGGGATGGCTATGTTTCCCCTGCAAGGTTAATGAGTTCTTTCTAGGGTTGGAAAATCGTGCAGATTCTAAACTACAACATGTACCTTGCCGAGGCCTTATGTCTACGTGTAATGTTTACGGATGCTGTAACTTTCCCAAATGTATTTTTTTTCACCTAGCCCCTCAAAGAATCCTCTGTATTTCTTTACTCGTGTTTATAACACACTACTCGATATCTTAGATGTAGGTAAGTACTATTTTTGTCGAATGAAAAATGTACTCACCCAAAGAGAACAGTACGTCCTTAATAACGTGCCCCCCACTTGCTGTTCTATCAGTATACTTTGTATTTGAGAATGTTTTGTTTTGGACTGAGATTAAAAAACCTTCTACACACCAATATAACTGATACCGAGTTGCATTCTTTTGTTACTTGCAGAAGTGAGTGTAAAATAAAGAATTAGTGATGTGTGCGCGCGCAAGAGGTTTAAAAAATAATTCTTTTCTAAATTTGTGTTTGTTAAAACCTCAATGTATAGAATAAAAGTACTAGAATATCTTTACATGTTTATTGATAAATTACATGTTAACACTACATGTCTGAATGGGCAAACTTTGAAGTAGAACATGAAAATGCTAGAAAATTCAGTACATAAACAGGTTGGGGGAAAAGTAAATTCCACTATTATAGTGAGATTCTGCTATATTTCCAGCCGTCTTTGTCCTTGATTTAATCAGATTACATGCTTGCTGTTTATGGCGCAACTAATGGTAGGTATAAAAATGGATACAAATTGGCACCCTGACATTTTAGCAATTTTATTAAATTTTCTGCCGATGCTTTAAAAAATGCTAACAAACTTTTTAAATCGGAAGTTACATTTTTAACATAGCAAAAACTGATTGCGGTATTTTCAAGAAAGTCTATATTTAAATTTTTCTCGTGTACAAAAATTAAGGTTTGAAATAACTTTCAATCCTCATTTAACTAGGATTGACAACTAGTTAACTATCCTCTGTAATTTGTCTTATATAACATTGTACAATAAAACTCCCCATCTAGTAAACTATCCTCTGTAATATGTCTTATATAACATAGTACAGTAAAACTCCCATCTAGTTAACTATCCTTTCTAATTTGTCTTGGATAACATAGAACAGTAAAACTCTCATCTAGTTAACTATCCTCTCTAATTTGTCTTGGATAACATAGAACAGTAAAACTCTCATCTAGTTAACTATCCTCTCTAATTTGTCTTATATAACATAGTACAGTAAAACTCCTATCTAGTTAACTATCCTCTGTAATTTGTCTTATATAACATAGTACAGTAAAACTCCCATCTAGTTAACTATCCTCTGTAATTTGTCTTATATAACATAGAACAGTAAAATTCTCATCTAGTTAACTATCCTCTCTAATTTGTCTTGGATAACATAGAACAGTAAAACTCTCATCTAGTTAACTATCCTCTCTAATTTGTCTTATATAACATAGTACAGTAAAACTCCCATCTAGTTAACTATCCTCTGTAATTTTTCTTATATAACATAGAACAGTAAAACTCTCATCTAGTTAATTATCCTCTCTAATTTTTCTTGGATAACATAGAACAGTAAAACTCCCATCTAGTTAAATATCCTCTGTAATTTGTCTTATATAACACAGTACAGTAAAACTCCCCATCTAGTTAACTATCCTCTGTAATTTGTCTTATATAACACAGTAAAGTAAAACACCCCATCTAGTTAACTATCCTCTGTAATTTGTCTTATATAACATAGTACAGTAAAACTTCCCACGTAGTTAACTATTCTCTGTAATTTGTCTTATATAACATAAAACAGTAAAACTCCCCATCTAGTTAACTATCCTCTGTAAGGAATTTATATGATAAGAGCCAATTTTGGCCCCCTAAAAATCAACATTTTAGAATGACATTCAGGTATGTTTTATTTATATTTATTTTGTAGAAGAGATTATAATAGAAATATTTTCAATATATTTTTCACATTTATCTGCACTCACTAGCTGTAAATGACATGAGAAATAATGCTATTTTTGCTATCTAACAAAAAAGCCAAAAATATGCCTATTTCTTGATGTTTTTTCTTATGGGAAACATAGAGCGCAGTGTAGAACATACATAATTTTTCTGTCACTAATTAGTATTGAATAGGTACATCTTTGGTAAAAATATAAATCTTGTTCTCGGTTGCGCTCTATCTTTTCTGAAAGAAAAACTGCTTGAAAATAAGCAGTTTTATACAAAATATGCAAAAATGGCGGGAAAATGTGATTTTTATGATGTCATGTTTCTAAAATAACGGCATTTTGATCAAAATGAAAATGACCAATAAAGGTCACATATATAGCTGTACAAATTAAAGCTATATATAAAGTAAAATTAAGATATCCATTTTAAGGGGCCAATTGAGACACTAATAATATATCGCTCTTTGTCTTACATAACATATTACAGTAAAACTCCCCATCTAGTTAACTATCCTCTCTAATTTGTCTTGGATAACATAGAACAGTAAAACTCCCATCTAGTTAACTATCCTCTGTAATTTGTCTTATATAACGTAGTACAGTAAACTCCCCATCTAGTTAACTATCCTCTGTAATTTGTCTTACATAACATATTACAGTAAAACTCCCCATCTAGTTAACTATCCTCTGTAATTTGTCTTATATAACACAGTGCAGTTAAACTCCCCATCCAGTTAACCATCCTTTTTAATTTGTCTTATATAGCATGAACAGTAAAACTCCCATCTAGTTAACTATCCTCTGTAATTTGTCTTATATAACATAGTACAGTAAAACTCCCATCTAGTTAACTATCCTCTGTAATTTGTCTTATAGCACACAGAACAGTAAAACTCCCCATCTAATTAACTATCCTCTGTAATTTGTCTTATATAACATAGTACAGTAAAACTCCCATCTAGTTAACTATCCTCTGTAATTTGTCTTATATAACACAGTAAAGTAAAACACCCCATCTAGTTAACTATCCTCTGTAATTTGTCTTATATAACACAGTACAGTAAAACTCCCCATCTAGTTAACTATCCTCTGTAATTTGTCATAATTGTAATATTCCTCAGTTCACAGTCACCTCACTGTCTAGTGAATTATCCCATGTACTTGTCTAACAACACAGAAAACATGCAGTACATTCTAGGGAATATAAGGTGTTTAAAAGTTTGATCTTGTCCAAGTAAAATACCCAGAATGCTTAATTTGAGTAAAACGTGAGTTATATACTGTACATTATGGGAATCTATGGTATTTTATTTTAGATCAAGGGGAGACCACTCCAACTGCTTACCGTTTGATTGTAAAATGTGTCAATAACGGCCTGAAAATGCATGTACCACAAAAATCTCTTTGGTCAGCAGCATACAGAGGGTTCTGTGAGAACATCATCTCCCCAGTCAATACAGTCAAACCTCATTTTAACAAACTCAACGTGAATAAATAAAAATTTGAGATATTTGAAGGTTCAAGATATCCAGAGTCAAATATTTAAAGAACAAGGGAGTTAGACTTCCAAATCATTTCAGAATACCCATGATCTTCAACATATCAGTGTTTGAGATACTGAAGTTAAACTGTATTTATATTGCTAAATATATAAATAAATAAAAAGTCCAATATACTGTAGCTATTTATTTGGTATAATATTACTAATTACATCTATAAAAATGCTAATGTAAACAAATAGTAAAACTATTGAATTTACAATGTATACTAAAATGACTAATATAAGCAATATAACACCATTCCCAAGAAGGGCATCTAAAACAGCAAGGTCATACGTAAAGTATATACAGATGTTCTATCTGGTAGGTTGCAAAATACTGATACAAGATATTGCTAACATTCTACATCAACATGTACACGTAAAAAATCTGAGTAAGTTACTGCATCTGTACAGTAAAATTATTTTTTGAAATAAAAATCAGACAAATGTTTGCCTTTAAACAGTTAAGCTTTGTTTATGTTTTCATTTCAGAGCAAATTGTCCAGATAAATGAACTGTTCAGATTACTAAAACATAGCTTCTTATGACATTTAGGTATAACTGTAAGTTCTGTTCCCAAAGAATTTGACCAAAATGTGAAGCATCCAATGGCCAATTTACAAAAGAATTTACGACCAAGACCAAAAATTATTTCTGCTCATAACTTTCCATTTTACAAAGAAACTTGTTTTATGTAATCTTTTTAAAAAGAATTTATTACAAGATATTTTTATGCTAGCATATGCAAACAGAATCATTAATTTGACAAAAATTTACAATGAACTAAAGTTTTTGATCTGAATTGTAAGTTCTTTTTTAAACAGGCCCCTGGTAACTGGCAATCATCCAGGCTCAACTGGATCAAAAAAATTATCATTAAAAATTCATCAAGTTAATGTAAAATGAGTGTTTCATTACAATATTTCAAAGTCAATGATGTGAAAAAATGATCTGTTGGCATGTATAATTGTAGCACCATTCTACCAAACTGAGATTCACCATGCGTGAGATGTAGAAATTGACTACATACTAAAGTGTCACGTTAGTACAAGTAGTTAGTTTTGTGAGAAAAAATAATAAAAAATGGTGGGAAAAAAATTCCACATTTTTACAAGATGTCAATATTCAATATTGTTTACCCAGTTCCTGACTTTGGTTTTTTATACAAGGTATGAGGAGATGGTTTTGTTTGAGCCAATGAATCTTAGACACTATTTGTTACACAGTGATGTTACGTAGTGAAGTAACCAATACATAAATACAATGTCTGACTGAAATGTGATACAGTTATTTCAACACTGCTTTTTCCAAGGGATGTTGTACACACACACTGGAAGACACTTTTTTTTATCAAGCATGTTTTTTTTTAATTGGCCATTGAGGTAAATAGATTTTTGCTCTGACAAATTTCAAGGAAAACTTTAAAGGTCATAATTATTCAAATTCACTGCACAAATAATGGAAATCAGCCGTTGTCCTCATTTACATGATTCAAACATTCAGAACAAAACTCGGTAATGTGGAGGGAATAGAAATGGGGGTCTATTTGGGGGGAAACAAGTGTAAAATATATACATAGATGGTGAAAAATACAACACAGTCAGATAAACAGCTCATATAATGAACAAGATGAGCTTAATCAGATATAAGCAAGAAAATAGACCATTTGTAGTAAAAATATAGAAATCCAACACTTTTGTGTCATTTTTCAGTATAAACATTCCATATTCTACTTAGCATTCTTAAGGACCTTTCGATGTGTATAAATCTTTTTAACCCTTGATTTAACCCTGTTATATGCCCTCCCTTCTCTGAACACAGTTATCTTTCTTTGTAGCACTCTCCAGTCTTGAATGGTTCCTGTTTACACATTGGCTCCTCCATTAGATTTTTCTGGTTCCTCCTCGATGACGTCCAGCTCCTGGTCCCCTGGGTAAACTCCTGGCCCCATCAGCTCCTCCCTAGAAAGGTGGGCCACTATAGCAGCACCATAGCTGTCCCCCAGAACATTAATGGCCGTTCTTATTCTGTCACTGAAAAAAATTAAATAAATCCTCCATATACCTGTTCTTATATTAGAAAATAGTGTCTTAGTAATTAATAAATTAAATATATTCATTAAAAAAGGTGTTAAACTGGGTTTTTCTCTTTCTTAAGTCAAAAGGTACCAAAATAATCCAAAGAGCAGAGTGGCTATGTAATTATTGAAGAAATGTGGGGAAAATTACAGTTTAAATGATATCACATGATACTCACAGGAACCAATCAACAGCCAGGATAAGACTGATGTCATCAGTGGGCAGTCCTACCGAGGTGAGTACCATTAACATGGTGATGAGGCCAGCACTAGGGATACTGGCCGCCCCTATACTGGCACAGGTCGCTGTCAAGCTATACAAAGCACAACACAGTCAGATCAAAACATTCAAATGTGAAGCATGTCTTCTTTGTAAGATAACATAAAATACAATCACAAACTTCACTTGCAAACAAGAATTTTGTGCAATTCCCTATTCTGAATGCATGAAATGTAAATCTCTATCATTACCAGAGTTTCTGAAATTCATAATATACCAAAAATTCTTAACATTTTGAAATTTTATACCAATATTTGTTTAATAAAGTGCCATGCCACAGCATGATACGCCCATCAAAAAATTACAATTATCTTAAACAATTAAAAGTGCAAGAAAATCATGTCAACCTTGATTTTAGATTTCCATGATTTTGCAACTCCTTAAAAAATTTGTTTATCCATCTCCTGTGGTGTAGGCATTAATTATAACATATATTGCATCATTCATAGATTTCTATACTGGTTGTGTTAGACCTTGCCAAATGCCTATCATATTAAACAATGTCAAATTAGTCTTAACAACCTAATCTATACCTAATTAATTTTGAAAATAAAAGGCTGGCCATCAAATATAAAATGACCAACAGTTCTTCTGTCTAATTCCCAAAGGATACACTGTCAGTTAAGATAATGCTCTGAAGAAATGATTGAGACAGCTATAGCCTTGCTACAATGAACACATTAATTAATCTTTAACTGGATGCTTGTCTACTCATTACTCCCAAGAGATTATTGGATCTACACTATCTACCATAAAGAATTTTTAAAACATATAAAACCTCAATGATTTTTTTTGTTAGATTTAATGGCAGACAGGTTTTAATATGCAATTCATGTGGACATGCTGATTCCACCCCACCCCCATAAAATTAGTTTTTTAAAGTTCATAATATTATGTAATATCAAAATAGTTTATTATGCAAAATCAAATTAGTTTTATTTACTTCTCATCAAATTCATTTTAAAACTTATGCTAGCCAACTAGAGCTATTTTTAATTCAACAGGATTACCCATTTGGCCCAATACTCAAGGGATATAGATAGCACCGATGCTCTTCCTCACACTAAACTCATTAATTTCTCTCTCTAATTTGACATGCAATTTTCTGTTATCAAAATTCTTCTTGACCAGTGCTTGATAATTAAACTCATGGGAGTGGTGGAATTTCTTTAACATACATTACATTTGTTACAGATTGCTGTCAAGTATATGCTAAAAAAAATAAGTATTTTCTTGATTTAACATTTTTCTAATAAGGATAGTGCAATACTTTTACATTTTTTGGAGTGTGTAAATGAAGAGAAAAAAAGTCTTTTTTTTTTTGAAATTTCACTTTAATTAAAGGTCACAGTGACCTTGAAATAGGTCGCGACACACCCTCTACCTAAGATGCATCAAGTGGCCAAGTTTGATGATTCTAAGTCTAATAGTTTTCTAGTTATGGACCGGACAGGATTTTTCCATATTTGGCTATAACTTTTTAATTATAGGTCAGAGCGACCTACTTTTTGTGCGCGACACACCTTCTACCCATGATGTATCAGCTGACAAAGTTTGATAACTCTAGGCCTTATAGTATTCAAGTTATGAGCCGGACACGAGAAAAGCTAACAGACGGACGGACGGACAGACGGACAGACAGACGGACATGAAGCCTATAACATAATACGTCCCGTCTTAAGACGGGCGTATAATAAACCTTATACCTCACAACCACAATCTGCCCAAAAGATAAGTTGATATCGTTCATCTGAGCTATGAAGATTGGACCCACAGCCTCGTAGAGAGCTGTTCCATCCATGTTGATGGTGGCCCCTATAGGGAGGATAAATCGGGTCACGCGACTGTCGATGTGGAGAGTCTCCTCCAGACAGCGGAATGTGATGGGCAGGGTCGCGGAGCTAGAAATGATATAAATGTACAATATTATAGGTAGCATAACGTGTCAAAATTATGGACTGGTTCTTATTCATTGTTACAAAGTTATGGCAAATAGTATTTGCTTTGTCAGTTTGTTTGTCCTTATCTTTTGTTCAAAGCTATGGCTTCTATATCTCAGATATATGTTCCCTCTAACAAGTAACAAGCCCTTTCTTTGGGAATGAACATATTTGACCTCTTGACCTTGGAATTTGACCCTCTTTGAAAAAAATTTACCAGATTTTAATCTTGGCCAAAACTTTTGAATGGTTGGTGCACTTTTATTAGCATATTCCTTATGATGACCTTTCCTTGCACTTTTGATCTTTGACTTTATAGTTTGATCTACTTTCAAAAAATGTTTGTTGCTATGAATTATACAGCAAAACTCGTTAAGTACGAACACGGATACAGCGAATTCACGGTTATAACGAAGTTGTTTTGGATCCCCAGCTATATAAATTTAACGTATTTCTTATATGGATATAACGAATTATGGATATAGCGAAGTAAATTCATTGGTCCCCGTGACTTCGTTATAACTGAGTTTTACAGTATATATTTCAAAAGTGTATTTCTTGTGACAAGACCTTTGAATTCGCTTAGGTACAAAGAATTTTGATGCTTTGACCTTGACCTTAGAGTTTTACCTACTGAAATACTTTAATCTTGGTTAAAAATACTTCATACTAGGTTTTGAATGGTTGTTGCTAAGGCTTTCATATTTCACAGGTATATTTCTTGTGACATAACCTACCCTCAGCTATCAACAATTTTGATATCTTGACTTTAGAGTTTCCTTTGCAAAACCTTTGCCATGTGCTGCAAAATGGGTGCATTAGTGTTTCACAAACACATCTTGTTACATGTATTTCTGTGTCCCTTAATTAAGATTTTACCCTTATCAATTCTACATTCTAAATATACACCTACCTAGAGCCAGTACCAAAGGCTGTGACCAGAGCCTGAAGCACACCCCTGAGTATGTGAAAGGGATTTCTTCTTGTAGCAGCAAAATAAACGAGGGAGAGAGTGATGAATGCGTGGATAAACAGACCGAGGATGACCGTCAACATGTACATCCCAAGTCTCTGCATCATCTCACTGGGATCCTCAATATCCAGAATCTTACCGCAGACCAGGAACATTATACCGATAGGGGAGTACCTAAAAATAGACCAATAAGATTATACTGATAGGGGAATACCTACAATTGACCAATAATATTATACCGATAGGGGAGTACCTAAAAATAGACCAATAACATTATACCGATCAGGCAGAACCTAAAAATAGACCAATAACATTATACCGATAAGGGAGTACCTAAAAATAGAGGAGGAACATTATACCGACCGGGGAGTACCTAAAAATAGAGCAGGAACATTATACCGATAGGGGAGTACCTAAAAATAGAGCAGGAACATTATACTGATACGGGAGTACCTAAAAATAGACCAATAACATTATACCGATCGGGGAGTACCTAAAAATACTGTATACAAGGGAATTTTCACTTCTGTTTTATTTTTGCTCCTTTTGCCCTAATGTCGTTTAGGCGAATTTAAAACGGGATGAATTCAAAAAATACAGTATAATTTTTTTTAAAATAAAAGTGTAACTGGGCGAATTTAAGATGGGGCGAAATTGTTTGCAAGATTGAAAGGGTGAAAATAAAGTGGGGTGAAAATAACCCTGTATACAGTATTCTGCCATTCACAGATTTAAATAGGATTTACATATTATTTTAGAAATCACACCTCTGTATTTATTTTGTCTTAAAACTAAGGTATTTACTTATCAGGAGGAGAAGGTTAAAAGAACAAAAACATTGATTAAGACAAATGTTCTGATTCTGTGACTAACCACATGATGATGTTAACCATCTCCATGATGATGTGGTTAAGAATGGCAAAGAATTCCACCATCGGCTTCCCCTTCTCTCCCATCTTACTCAGGATCATCCCAAACGCCGTGAAAAACCCAATAATACCTACAAAAATATAAAAACCCAATAATACCTACAAATATAAAAACCCAACGATTCCTACAAATATTTAAACCATCAACACAATAAAAAGTGCCACGCCACAGCATGATACGCCCGTCAAAAAATTACAATTATCTTAAACAGTTTAAAGTGCAAGAAAATCTGATGTCAACCTTGATTTTAAGATTTTCCAGGATTTTTCCACTCCTTAAAATATTTGTTTATCCATCTCCTGTGGTGTAGGCTCTGATTATAACAAATATTGTATCATTCATAGATTTCTATACTGGTTGTGTTAGACCTTGCCAAATGCCCATCATATTAAAATATATCAAATTAGTCTTAACAACTTAATCTATACCTAATTAATTTTGAAAATAAAAGGCTGGCCGTCAAATATAAACTGACCAGCAGTTCTTCTGTCTAATTCCCAAAGGATACAGATAAGCCGATGCTCTGAAGAAATGATTGAGAGGCCTAGCCTTCCTACATTGAACACATTAATTAATCTTTAACTGGATGCTTGTCTACTCATTACTCCTAATAGATTATTGGATCTGCACTATCTACCATAAAACAATTTTAAAACATCTAAAACATCAATGATTTTTTAGATTTAATGTCAAACAGGTTTTAATATGCAATTTGTATGGACATGCTGATTCCACCCCCATCCCATAAAATTAGTTTTTAAATGCATAATATTATGTAATATCAAAATAGTTTAATATGCAATATCAAAAATTAATTTTAATTACTTTTCATCAGATTCATTTTAAAACTTGGGCTAGCCAACAAGAGCTATTTTTAATCCAACAGGCTAACCACATTTGCCCAATGCCCAGGGGGATATAGATAGCACTGATGCTCTACCAGCTACTCCTCACATTAAACTCATTAATTTATCTCTCTAATTTGACGTGCAATCTTCTGTTATCAAAATTTTTCTTGACCAGTGCTTGATAACTACACTCATGGGAGTGATGGAATTTCTCTAACACACATTATATTTATTATAGATTGCTGTCAAGAATATGCTAAAAAAAAAATTTAGTATTTTCTTGATTTAACATTTTTTTAATAAGGATAGTGCAATACTCTTACATTAGTTGGGATGTGTAACTGAATAGTAAAAAGACACACTTTTTTTTTTAAATTTCACTTAAATTAAAGGTCACAGTGACCTTGAAATAGGTACCTACACATATATGTACCTAAGATGCATAAACTGGCCAAGTTTGATGATTCTAAGTCTAACAGTTTTCTAGTTATGGACCGGACAGGATTTTTCCATATTTGGCTATAACTTTTTAATCATAGGTAATGCAAGACAATACTTTTTGTGCGCGACACACCCTCTACCCAAGATGTATCAGCTGACAAAGTTTGATAACTCTAGGCCTTATAGTATTAAAGTTATGAGCCGGACACAAGAAAAGCTAACAGACGGACAGACGGACGGACAGACGGACGGACACGAAGCCTATAACATAATACGTCCCGTCTGAAGACGGGCGTATAAAAACCCAATAAATCCTATAAGTATAAGTACTATAAATATGTGTCGTTTGTATATGCAGTATTATCTATATATCAATTTATTGCAATATTAAACCCAACAATAATATACTCATTATTTTCTCTGAATTTTCAAACAATTAAAACAATTGTTTTGGCATGATTAACGTATCATTTGCACATGCACATTAGAAAAAGTGAAAACTGATTTTACTGAAGAATACATTACGATTCCTGTAATATTACCGAGGACGTTAATTCCGTTGTTGAGGCTCTGTTTCTGAGCCGTGAAGACATACGGTTCCTTGTAATACAGCCTGGTCGAGTTGAACTGATCCGACTTGTTCAAACGAATCAGTTCCTGCCACTTCTCGTTCAGAGCCATACCCAGGGACATGTTCACCTTGTCTGTCAGGTTCAGATCTATGGCGTCCTGTAGCGATGCCGTAAAATAGACCTTACTTTTGGCCTTTTTGTCGATGTACGTGGTTCTGATGTGTTGGAAGCTGGCCTGGATAATGTTGTCTGGGAAAATATTTCTAAATGAGATGACAGAAAAATTACTTTTGGGTAATTTGTTCAAGATTTTAGCCTTCATGGACTTGCAGGAAATTGAATAATGTTAAACTAAGCAAATAATGGTTCTCAATAGTGTTTTCAATCACAGCCTCTTTAATCAGGAAATTAAAATACTAAAATTTTCAAATTTTTAAAAATTCCACATATTCAATTATAAAATGTATGGGGTTGATTTAAAATTGTTTGCAGGTGTGAAAAGGCAAAAATGAAATGATATTAACCCTGAATACAATATTGTTTTGATTGAAAAGAAATTTTCAGATATTAAGATAATATCTTTGCTTCTCCTTAGCTAATGATAAGCTGTAATTTTGATATTTTAAAAGTTCATATGTATCTACCCATGAAGACAACAATGCAAAAATAAACCCAGCAATATCTATCTATTGATCTTCTGGGGAGATAGCAATTTACAGAAAACCTGGTGGAGAAACTTCTCTGCCATTAAATCTAGAGAAGTCCTATGTTAAGTCTTTAATTGGTATATTGATCAAGAAAATCCTCAACACAATGGCCCCATTTCTCCCCAACTGTTTTTTTTCCTGGATTTGTCGATAACTTTTTTCAAATAAAATATACTTCATCTCCAAAGTTCATGATGAGTTCATGATAAGGTAATAACAATCAACTCCCTTCATTTTTTATTCCTAGCTTTTGAGACAAAGGTGCTTTAGAATTTGAGGGTGCATAAATCCTCGATTTCAAAGGTATTCTAAATATTGCTTCATCACATTTCCTGAAGTCTATGACACATAATTAGATCAAATTAGAAATTGACAAAAAAGTTACTGGGTCTTGTGATATAGTACACTGTCTATACTGGGCACTGCAGTATGCCTATACCAGAATAGTATACTGTCTATACCGGGCACTGCAGTTTGCCTATACCAGAATGGTCTACTGTCTATACTGAGCACTGCAGTATGCCTATACCAGAATGGTCTACTGCCTATACTAGGCACTCTAGTATGCATTTACCAGAATTGTATACTGCATATACTGGGCACTGCAATATGCCTATACTGCAAATACTGGGCACTGCAGTATGCCTTTACCAGAATAGTATACTGCATATACTGGGCACTGCAAAATGCCTATACTGCATAATTACTGGGGACTGCAGTATGCCTTTACCAGAGTAGTATTCTGTCTATACTAGGCACTCCAGTATGCATTTACCAGAATTGTATACTGCATATACTGGGCACTGCAATATGCCTATACTGCAAATACTGGGCACTGCAGTATGCCTTTACCAGAATAGTATACTGCATATACTGGGCACTGCAAAATGCCTATACTGCATAATTACTGGAGACTGCAGTATGCCTTTACCAGAATAGTATACTGCATATACTGGGCACTGCAGTGCCTTTACCAGAATAGTATACTGCCTATACTGGGCCCTGCAGTATGCCTATACCAGAATAGTATACTGTCTATACTGGGCACTGCAGTATGCCTTTACCAGAATAGTGTACTGCCTATACTGGGCCCTGCAGTATGCCTATACCAGAATGGTCTACTGTCTATACTGGGCACTGCAGTATGCCCTATACCAGAACAGTATATTGTCTATACTGGGCCCTGCAGTATGCCTATACCAGAATAGTGTACTGTCTACACTGGGCACTGCAGTATGCCCTATACCAGAACAGTATATTGTCTATACTGGGCCCTGCAGTATGCCTATACCAGAATAGTATACTGCCTATACTGGGCCCTGCAGTATGCCTATGCAATAATAGTATACTGTCTATACTGGGCCCTGCAGTATGCCTATACCAGAGCAGTATATTGTCTATACTGGGCCCTGCAGTATGCCTATACCAGAATAGTGTACTGTCTACACTGGGCACTGCAGTATGCCCTATACCAGAACAGTATATTGTCTATACTGGGCCCTGCAGTATGCCTATACCAGAGAAGTATATTGTCTATACTGGGCCCTGCAGTATGTCTATACCAGAATAGTGTACTGTCTACACTGGGCACTGCAGTATGCCCTATACCAGAATAGTGTACTGTCTACACTGGGCACTGCAGTATGCCCTATACCAGAACAGTATATTGTCTATACTGGGCACTGCAGTATGCCTATACCAGAATAGTGTACTGTCTATACTGGGCACTGCAGTTTGCCTATACCAGAATGGTCTAATGTCTATAGTGGGCACTGCAGTATGCCTATACCAGAACAGTATATTGTCTACACTGGGCACTGCAGTATGCCTATACCAGAATAGTATACTGCCTATACTGGGCACTGCAGTATGCCTATACCAGAACAATATATTTTCTACACTGGGCACTGCAGTATGCCTATACCAGAATGGTCTACTGCCTATACTGGGCACTGCAGTATGCCTATACCAGAATGGTCTACTGTCTATACTGGGCACTGCAGTATGCCTATACCAGAATAGTATACTGTCTATACTGGGCACTGCAGTATGCCTATACCAGAACAGTATACTGTCTATACTGGGCACTGCAGTATGCCTATACCAGAACAGTATATTGTCTATACTGGGCACTGCAGTATGCCTATACCAGAACAGTATATTGTCTACACTGGGCACTGCAGTATGCCTATACCAGAGTAGTATACTGCCTATACTGGGCACTGCAAGAACCAGCATATTTAAGTTCCTCATATGTATATTAGTGTGACTTTCACCTTGTCATTCTGACCTTCAAATCTACCCACACCACAGAGAGAACAAAATGACATGCATTACTGATATTGCAAACATCAATTAAACACTAGAACACATTGACAGATGGGGGAAATAAAATCCTCAGAAACTGTTCCTGCAGGCCTCAAATAGGGCTGAAGAGAGCTACAGACAATATCATTAGATGTGGGTCTACCAGGCAATTAGCGGGGTAGAAAACCTTTTCAAATGAAATGATTGTCAATAAAGTGCCGCAGAACAAATTCATCAGTTCAGTGGCTTGTCTTTACTATAGGAAGGAGAGGGACAGCAGCTGTAATAAACTACAATGAGTTACAAACACCTTCACTGGAACACCATCACTGAAACACTGTCACGGAAACACCATCACGCGCAAATGTTGAGTAGGGTATCAGGGAGACAGGATCTCCCCAAAGAAAAGAAAAATGGTTTTCTCCTCTAAAATCTCTATTGTGCATTACATACATTCTCTTAGAAGATGACTATCTCCAGTATAATGGCTGTACCATGAAGAGAATGGATTTTTTTCCTGGATAAATCATTTGTGGCTAATTAAATCATTGTTCACAATAAGATATGGTGGAGAAACATCTTTTATGTAGACGGAAGAACTTCTCCTTTGAGCAGACACAGATGCGACAGGAGGTTTTATCAATGTTAAGCATTCAGATCTCTGTTGGTTATTCTTAAGGAAAAAAATACGTACAAGTTTCTTAACATACAATGTATAAAAACTTCAGGCTTGCAAAAAGTGAGAAGGATCTATAAGAGCATATCATTTCATAATTTTTTTGTTTTATATTTTGTCCTTGGCTGCACAATGATAGCACATCAACCTACTTAATTGAATTCTTTATGTTATTTGATTCCCAAAGAAATCACTAATTTCCTGGTAATAAAATTACAAAGCATCATAAAGCCACTTCAACCAAATGATAGGAACAGATGACGTAAGGGAATCAAGGCCTTTAAAAAAAATTAATGTTATCTTAATTTTGTCATCAAAATTAATTAAAAATATCTTTCAAACAAACATCAATATATTCCATTAAAAATGTCATTTACAGAATGCAGGGATAATTTAATTGTCTAAATTGTCACCATGAATGAGACCATTACATCTCCTGCTGCACCTCATAAAAAAAAGTTATAATTGGAAAAATTCTACAACAATCGAGTTTTAAGTCTGGGTCTCCCTAGTGTTTTATGTAACAGAGTCACAATAAATACTTGTTCATCTCCATAACGACACACCATTCTATGCCGTGGATTCCAGCAGTTTTATGAACTTCAAAGTTTTTTTTTCACCGTCCAACCAGAGCTGATATTCTCACTATATTAAATTCTCCCCAGAAAAGCCAGATACAACATCCCACATGTTAAAATAGCACAATTATCATTAAACAGCATTATACAGCCATATTCTCACACAGCGGCAAACCATAAAAGAAGAAAAAATTACCCCTGAACTACATATTACATCATCTCACTTCTCTACAATACCCGGTAATTAATTCCCACTAGACTTTCATTGACTGGTATTAAACAAAAATTTAATTCCTTTTTTTTCTATTTCATTAAATTGTACAACACACTTGTATATTTCTTTTCGAGTTATGCCCCTTGAGAAATGTTGCTCTCTCTCTCCTTAAGTGGTGTAAGCTAATGTGCTTTCTAGATGTTCTATTGAATAACAAAATCCATCTCAGGCTGATTTGCAATAACAAATTCAGACAAGCACAAATCAAAGATGCATCTATAATAATAAATGACAAAAAGGCTCTTTGTAGAATACGACACAGAATTCAATAGACTGGTCTGGACCATTACTTGTAAAAAGCTACTAATAACAAGAAAAATCAGCAAATGGTTTAAATATTTAGCAGCTTAGTCTAAATGATGTTGGATGGTGTTTAATGTACTGATCAATCTGAACATTGGTAAAAGTGAGTTTTGTTGGAGATTTCTCATCTATTGATTATGAGTTTGCCTCTTTTTGGCTGTAGCCATTAAATCTCTCCATCATGCTGAGTTTGAACTGTGAATTTTGATATCTTATGGGAATACGATGACAAAAAATCAAGATAATAAATATGTTACTCTGAAACTTCTTATCAGTTAAAACTTGCATTTCCATCTGAAAATTCCACTGAGATTTTTTAAACATATCTAATATAAAGAATGCATGATCCTGAATCTTTTATTAAAAATACAGAAATAAAACAGTTGAACCAATGCATTTTTTCCTATTCTTGTAATGGGGTCCCAAGAAGAGCACCTGACTAGTAATAAAGGGGTCCCAAATACAGAACCTCAAAATCAATGCATGAGTCAAAGGTTGAGCACCTGACCAGTTATGAAAAGATCCCATATAAAGCACCGGACTGGGAATGAAGGGGTCCCAAGAAGAGCACCTGACTAGAAATGAAGAGGTCCAAGATAAAGCACCTGACTAATAATAAAAGGGTCCAGGGTAGAGCACCTGACTAGAAATGAAGGCATTCCAAATAAAGCACCTGACAAGTAATGAAGGGGTCCCAGGTAGAGCACCTGACTAGAAATGAAGGCATTCCAAATAAAGCACCTGACTAGGAATGAAGAGGTCCAAGATAGAGCACCTGACTAGAAATGAAGGGGTCCCAGGTAGAGCACCTGACTAGTAATGAAGGCATTCCAAATAAAGCACCTGACAAGTGATGAAGGGGTCCAAGATGGAGCACCTGACTAGTAATGAGAGGATCCCAGGTAGAGCACCTGACTAGGAATGAAGGGTCCCAGATAGAGCACCTGACTAGTAATGAAGGTCCTAGGTAGAGCACCTAACTAGGAATGAAAGGATCCAAGATAGAGCACCTGACAGTAATGAAAGGATCCCAGGTAGAGCACCTGACTAGTAATGAAGGCATTCCAAATAAAGCACCTAACTAGGAATGAAGAGGTCCAAGATGGAGCACCTGACTAGTAATGAGAGGATCCCAGGTAGAGCACCTGACTAGGAATGAAGGGTCCCAGATAGAGCACCTGACTAGTAATGAAGGGGTCCCAGGTAGAGCACCTGACTAGTAATGAAGGGGTCCCAGGTAGAGCACCTGACTAGTAATGAAGGGGTCCCAGGTAGAGCATCTGACTAGTAATGAAAGGACCTAGGTAGAGCACCTGACTAGTAATGAAAGGTCCTAGGTAGAGCACCTGACTAGTAATGAAGAGGTCCCAGGTAGAGCACCTGACTAGTAATGAAGAGGTCCCAGGTAGAGCACCTGACTAATAATGAAGGGGTCCAGGTAGAGCACCTGACTAGTAATGAAAGGTCCTAGGTAGAGCACCTGACTAGTAATGAAAGGTCCTAGGTAGAGCACCTGACTAGTAATGAAGGGGTCCAGGTAGAGCACCTGACTAGTAATGAAAGGTTCTAGGTAGAGCACCTGACTAGTAATGAAAGGTCCTAGGTAGAGCACCTGACTAGTAATGAAGTTGTCCCAGGTAGAGCACCTGACTAGTAATGAAGGGGTCCAGGTAGAGCACCTGACTAGTAATGAAGAGGTCCCAGGTAGAGCACCTGACTAGTAATGAAGAGGTCCTAGGTAGAGCACCTGACTAGGAATGAAGGGGTCCCAGGTAGAGCACCTGACTAGTAATGAAGGGGTTCCAGGTAGAGCACCTGACTAGTAATGAAGAGGTCCCAGGTAGAGCACCTGACTAGTAATGAAGAGGTCCCAGGTAGAGCACCTGACTAGTAATGAAGGGGTCCCAGGTAGAGCACCTGACTAGTAATGAAGGGGTCCAGGTAGAGCACCTGACTAGTAATGAAAGGTCCTAGGTAGAGCACCTGACTAGGAATGAAGGGGTCCCAGGTAGAGCACCTGACTAGTAATGAAGAGGTCCCAGGTAGAGCACCTGACTAGTTATGAAGGCATTCCGAATAAAGCACCTGACTAGTAATGAAGGGGTCCAGGTAGAGCACCTGACTAGTAATGAAAGGTCCTAGGTAGAGCACCTGACTAGTAATGAAGAGGTCCCAGGTAGAGCACCTGACTAGTAATGAAGGGGTCCCAGGTAGAGCACCTGACTAGTAATGAAAGGTCCTAGGTAGAGCACCTGACTAGGAATGAAGGGGTCCCAGGTAGAGCACCTGACTAGTAATGAAGGGGTCCCAGGTAGAGCACATGACTAGTAATGAAAGGTCCTAGGTAGAGCACCTGACTAGGAATGAAGTTGTCCCAGGTAGAGCACCTGACTAGTAATGAAGGGGTCCCAGGTAGAGCACCTGACTAGTTATGAAGGCATTCCGAATAAAGCACCTGACTAGGAATGAAGGGTCCTAGGTAGAGCTCCTGACTAGGAATGAAGGGGTCAAGACAAGACATATCCTTGTGTTAAAAACTATCTCTGTTTCAACTAAACTTTCCAGTAAAATATATTTAGAGTTTTAATATTTCTCAATTATAAAATTGGTGTACTCGGACAGAAATTGAATACAACTTGGATTTGTCTAAAATGAACACAGTCCAAAGTCATCAAGTTACAAAGAAATGGCCTTGCATGATTGGAGTAAAATCAGACAGACACAAAATATATTCCACAAAATAAAATTTAAGGGCTTTATGTTTAAAAGTAGTTTAAAGAGAATTTTTAAGACCTCATTAAGACACCATATCACTAAAAAACATAGGCCTAAATACAGTGTTAAAGAACAACAAGATCGACGAGCAATTGATACTAGGTCACTCTACAGAACTTGTAAAATAAGCAGATTTCAATCTCTCTTGACAATCCACATAACCTGGTGAGTTACCTGATGAGATCAAGGAAGGCATCGAGCGAGCTGACTCGGTCGTCTCCGAGTTTTTCTGCGTCCTCATCCTCCTCTGGCATGTTGGATTTGTCTCCGGGATGGATCGCTATAACTAAAATAATCCCTAAAACGATGGCCAAAAACGTCGTCACAAAGTAGTAAACGACACCGCGTAGTCCCATCTTCCCACTGGAATGTACGTCCATGGAGGTCAAACCTACACGTCAAAACAGAATGTCGTTATAGATCTTTAGGAATTTATACAGACTACTGGTATGTTAATTTTAAAAATCTTCCTTAAGTTACATGCAAGGTTACATTTTGTCACTTTGAATTTTGTTAACTTGAAAACTGAGAGTTCCTTTCCTGTACATAAATACAGTATATCAAGCAAAGTGCTTTCAGACTTGCAGATTGAATATTACCAGAATACAGACCTGTTTAATCTCAGTCAGATATATTTGGTCTGTGCTCATTAGTTGAGTACACTCACCTGTTATCATACAGGACACAATGAGAGGTAGAATCATCATTTTGAGCATTCTCATGAGTATATCTCCGGGGAATGCTATCAGACGGATGGCCCCCTTGGAAGGCTCGGCAGCTCGGAGCCCGATTCCCAGAATTATCCCGGCAAACACGCCTCCAATGGTCAGCACCAGAAGGAGGTTCTCCTTGCCCCAGGAATGACACTGACATAAATAGATACAAAACTGTGATCATTCAAAAATTCTTAATTTAAGTGAAAGAACTGAGTTTGATTTTACTGTTATTCCTAACATAATTGTCTTAGTTCTAATAGCCCCATATAAATTGTCTACAAAACAATTAGTCCTTATTCTCTCCTTGCAGGAAGGGGTATGTTAGCTGTATATTGAGTTTTTGTAGCTGTCTGTCACAAAAGAACTCCTAAGTCCTTGTCCCTTAATTACTGGTTCATTAGTTTGTTGATGCCCATGAAATAAAAGTATGTTATGACCTTGACTCAGTCTTAATCTCAAAGGTCAAGGCCACTTAATTAAAGGTCAAAGGTCAAGGCCACTAACTAAGCTTGATACAATGCTGATATTAATTTTTTTTCAGGACTCTATCTTAGGATTCCTTGGTTGCTGTTGTTAAAGTTGTATGACCAATTAGCTAGGGGGTGTCCACACTGTGGCTCAACCCTACAACCCTACAACCCTCAGATTTAAAATCCAACACTCTACCGACTGAACAAAAGGGTTAACCCACTAGCTACTGCTGGTGGGAGCATATGGCCTCACTATTTACAACGCATAGCGACTTTTAAACTCTGTTACAGTTGTAAAATTTTCTGTTTGAATGAGACATTTTGGGAGTTCTTTTGTACTTTGGTTAATGACATGGATATTTCATTAGAAAAGTTAAAAAGGTCTTATGTTCTAATTTGTTTCAACACAAACAAACAATAAAATAAAATATATTAACAAGTATAATAATATTAACAGCTACGAGGGCTGTTTGGAAATTATTGAGACATTGTGTATATTTTGCTTTCTAATGAATGTCTTTCAGTGAAAATTTGCATGTACGTTTGACACATACTAAGAATTAATACAAGCAAAAGATATTTTACAAATATTAAATATTTACTCTACAATGGTATATAAATGCGTCAATGGATATTTCTTAATTCACGAAATCATTTATTGAAAATATGCATCACCAACGTTTTAACTCTTCGTGGACCCATAATCAAAAGCGAAAATAATTCAGTTTATGTGTATAATTTTACAGCTTTATTTCAAATTCATATTGTGCAACTTTGTTAGAATTTTGATCAGAAATACGGAGATCAGAAAAAATTAAGCGAGGTAGAGAAATCTGTGACCGACAACAAAATAGATTTTGATGTCAAGGCGGAACAGCAAGCATATCTAAAATTTTGTGTAGCTCAATGTAGAACTCTTTTCCAGACTGAACGACTTGCTAAAACAATAACAACGAGAAAAAAAAACGTTTTAGGGTTTGTTATTTCATTGGTATACATTGTTTCAACCAGAATAAAATAAAAAGCTCTAGAAAACCATCAGTTATTCCTTATGGTATTGATATCGTCACGGTATTAATATCATTGACCCGCATTGCATAAATCGGCATTGCATGATTCTAAGTCATCCTTTCTCACAAATGGAAATTTTACACTGGGGAAGCAACAACATACATTTTTTTAAGAAAAGTTTAAGAAAAGAGAATGTTTGTTTTTTGTAATGTTATATGTAATAATAAAGAAGGAAGAGTATTAAACGATTCCCGATCGTTTCACATGCGAAACCATCTCCGGCTGACTTTACATTAAATAACGTAGCGATGCTGCTCCTGGTCGATAGACATGTGCATGTTTATTATTTCACAGAAACTTATCTAATTATCATAGGAATTAGAAATTTTGCATAAGTGTTGTATTCGTTCTTTATAAAACGTTTATACAATTTTCATGAAATTAAAGCATTTTATGGAGTAAATGTAATTGTCTATGGATCACCTTGATGAATTTCGTGAAAAATTTTACAGCCCTTGTAGATGCCTTGTTGTTTGGTTGACAAGGAAGAGACATGTAACAGGACCAAAGCAATTTTAGTTTTGAAAAAATCACATATTCATAGAATCAAAGCGTGGGAACACATTAACATATTGATGTTTAAGTTAACTTTACAGATCTCTGGGTCTGATGAATGATGTAATAATTAGCTTAGTTTCTACATTTGTTCACATGCATGCAGATATCACCATGTAACTTGATGGATCGTTTCAACCCCTTATCTTGTATTTTCATTTTCTATTCAAGCTGTGTAACACTTGTACTTGATAAGGTGTAACCTACATTACTGAGTGTTATGCTGCACTTTAGAGCACCTGACACATTTAATAAATATAACAAAGGTATTCTTTCATTTAATAAATAATCAAGGTTACTGAAATAGTTTGTTAATAATAATTCACTTATTTCTAGGTAACTTTCATAACAAAGATTTATAAATCTTCATTTCGATTTTAGCAAACCCCATTACATCATATGTACATGGACAAATACAGATTATTAAATGATAATTCACAATTACTGAGTCAATATATTAAAGGGCAAAACTTGATTTAGTATTTTAATTGAGGTGCACACTGCCCACTATAGCAATAGTATGTATAAATAGAGTAGCTGGTCCCTTGTTATGAGAATTTCCCAGCAGGAATTTCTACCAAATGCATAAATTTCCATTTATTCCACAATCCATCAGAATTTTATATTTGTATAAAACCAGAGTCTGATTGTAATTTTCCAATATTTTATGTATAGAGAGGAAATTCTGATAAAGGTCATGATAATAGAGTGCACACTAAAGATTAAGAAATCCTAATAAAAAAATTAGTTTTTTTTCAATAGAGGCCCATGGGCAACAACACTCATTCTCCTGCTCAGGTAGTGGCTTCAAGTTTAGGGCATTCCAAGTTTATCTATGTTTAACATCTACATGTGTTTTCTTTTTTAAACCTCGGATCAGAAAAAAACCAAAATCAGGAGTTTTGAAATTGAACATGTAGAATTTGTCTGTATGTCTGTAAATTTTCAAAATGCTACTCCTTCTACAGCTTTTGTCTGATTTCAGTATAACTTGGCACATAAGTAGACAACACTAAGATACATAATTCTGTGTATCGGTTTTGGATTTTGATTAACAGTGTTGCCATGGTTACTAACAACAGAAATTTTTGTGAAATACTTTCAAAATGCTACTCCTCCTGCAGTTTTTGTCTGATTTCAAAATAACTTAGCACATAAGTAGACTACACTAAGATACATTATTCTTTTTATTGGTTTTGGATTTCAATGAATGTTGTTGCCTTGGTTACTAAAAATAGAAATTTTTGTAAAATACTCCAAAATGTGATCAAAATATACTGCAAAATATTTGCTGAAGAATAGCAAGGCCAAAGTGATTGGGTGAGTGTAAATTAATGTGTCCAACTGGGCACAACCTAAGGATATTTCAATTTTATCAACTCCTTGAGAAGGAATGCCCCTTCATTTTGGCAAACCTGAATTTCCATCACCCAAGGATGCTTTATGGCAAGTTTGGTTGAAAACTGTAAAGCATACACTTTGAAAATTGCCAGAAAGTGAGTCCCTGCTGATACTACTTGTCAAATGGGACTATTTAAGGGTTTCCTTGACAGGTCAATTAATACAGGTTTAACAATCAGAAAAACCCTCTTGTGCAAAAGCCAAATAATCAGAGATCTAAAAAATATTGACTGTACATGTATTTGTAATGAAACTTACAGATTTGACTTTCTTCCCCATTTTGAGTCTTTTGAGCCGAGCCAGACGACTGTTTTTCCCATCACTGGGTTTATTATCTGGCCCGTCGGACACTTGTTCTTTTTCCTTCTCCATCATTGGACTCGTCTGTTCCGCGTCGGACATTTTGACGGAAGTCTTTAGCTAAATATTGTCCCTGTTATAAAATCTACAGCTGCCTTATACAGAATCAGTAAAAAATTCCAATTCTTCTTCTTTTAATTCCTCTGGCTATTAACTGACAACCTTAGAAATCGTCCCCAGCAGAAATTTGTCCCTCGAGACTGAAGTATCACATCATTTAAATGTTTTAATTTGTTCACTGTCTGTTTGTAGCTATTTTCCCATCAATAACTTCTTAAGCTCTTTTCAACCCTGAAATATACAAAAGCAGCATTACAATATTGCCCTAAATATGGTGACTTTATAAAAAGAAAACATCATCTCTGCTCTTCATTGGAGCAACTGCTGCACAGTGCACTAAAAGAAAGCAGCAAAATTGAATGCATTATTCAGAACTAATACTGACGGGAAATTAGGATGCCTTGATTTTTTAGTCAGAAAACAGTTCTCAGATGCATAGAGGCTGCTTCATGAAAATCAAGTCCAATCAATAAAATTATCATCCTTTTTCTCTGAAATATTTATGCTTCAGAAAAATCTTAAATTTAGCAAGAAAGATGTAAATCTCACATGTGGGGTTTGTCACAATTGTAAAGAAATAGTAAACCAAGTAAGGATACTAGTTAAATAAAATTCCTTGACTCACAAAATTATTCTGCACAACTTACCAGGAAAAATATCATGAACAATTGTAGTTTCAAAGATTAAAAAAATTTTTTAACACCCTTACACTATAAAAGTCAAGGCCTAGTTTATAAAATTGATTGATCATGTCGATTAATTCACAGAATTAAACTGCTCCTGTGCTCCATACACTAAGAACAAAACTACATCACATTAAACTACTTAATCCATTAACTTTACATCTCACTTAATACAAAGGACAAGGAGATACTTATGAATCAATGAATTAATAAAGTTTACACTGCAGCAAGATCCACATAAATTCCCTTGATTAACAGAGGACAACTGAGATATCTCTTGATCTTGGTAACTTCTCCTGACTGCAGTTCACACCCATCTGTGGTTTATATGAAGATACATTCCAGCATCAGACCTGTGAGGGGTATGCCTTGCTATTATAGTCACTACTTTGAACTTGACATACTTTGAATACTTCCTGTATTCCTGTGTACAGTGCATCAACTTCTCAGGATCAGCAGATAAATTTACGCTGTCTTTAATTGCATTTCTTATTCAAGGGGAATAACTCTGAATGGTTTCTCTGGTTGACAAATAGGGATAATAAAATTTGTTGAAAAGCCATCATAACAGAATTGAATTAGTACAATAGCTGAGAGTCTCGACAAAGTAGGTTATTCACAGAATCACAGCTAGACTAGGGTAATAAAGCAGGAAGCCTTGTAGGTCTGTCCCCCTTAATTAACATCATCAGGTGTGAGGAAAGGTCATAATGAGGTAATTATCTCTGCTGGAAGTCTGGTGCACAGGAGTCAGGGCACCTGCTGGGGACAAAATCACCGAAGCATTGACAAACTCATGCCAGTGAGGAGAGAAAAGTTTATAATGTCGTTATATACTGAGAATCTTATCATGTTAGATGTCTGTTTTGTATAAAGTGCCATCAACAGTTACTTGACTTCTGTAGTTTATAACAACTGCTTGAAAACTTTGCTGAAGAGCAATACATAGTAAAACAAACTCAAATATTGTTTGTATGAGTACACTAAAACATGATTCTTTCAAATTAGATTTAAAGGTCAAGGTTTTAAAGAGAGAAACAGTTTAAGGTTACATTTAAACCTGATGAGACAAAAGCATTGATGAATATCAACTCAGTGAGGGGGATGTACATGTATATAAAATGAAATATATCTAAATAACAGAGAGCATCTCTGCCAGCATACATCTCACAAGCTGTCAATGAGATAAGACAACTGTCAACAGTAAACAAAGTATACATCTCACTGTGTGAAAATGAAAAAATATAGCAAAGGGCATCACTGCCAACATACATCTTAAAATCTGGTAATGTGATATAGCAAATGACACCACAGTCCAACATACATGTATAACTCACATTCTAATAATGGTCTCATAATCTGAAATAAGATATAGCAAATGGCATCACTACCAACATACATCTCAAAATCTGGTTATGAGATATAGCAAATGGCACCACTACCAACATACATCTCAAAATCTGGTAATGAGATATAGCAAATGGCACCACTACCAACATACATCTCAAAATGTGGTAATGAGATATAGCAAATGGCATCTCTAATAACATACATCTCAAAATTTGTTAATGAGTTTTAACACTCATTCAGCTAGCAGACAACTGTCTTCTACCAGCACACCTCTCACCATGTAAAATTGTTTGTAAATGATCATATTTTTCTGACACAATTATCCCCACAGTATTACCCATAGTCTTGAAAAATTCTAGTTTATATGAAAAACAATCATTAAAAATTACATTTCTAGAGGAATTGTAAGTTTTTTGATAGATCATCTGTGTTATTTTGCCTTATGTTGGAGAGTAGTCTTCAGAAACCTACAACAGCAGGGACTTTCTTAATTAAAACAGCATGTTAGTTTTTTTTTTCTGACAAAATTCTGGTTTTAATCCAGACCAGCTGCTACTATTTCTCTCTGCATGATTATTCAGGTTAAGGAAGATCCATACTTTTACAGATCCGGTTTTAATTTTATACACAGATTATAAAATTCCGGTTATCACATGTCTATCAAAATGAATTTTCAAGATGATAGTTAACAATACAGTTGTTGTGCATTTTACATGTAATATACATGTATATAATGGTAATTAAGACTGCACTATGCACTTTAGATCTGTATATTATGTAATTTTATAAACATACACACACACAGAAAAATAATCATGATGAGATCATGCTTTTCTATATATTGGCTGTTGAATTTTGTACTAGCTGAGACAGGTTGTATGAAGAAAAGCAAATTAAGGCATGTGTTTTATTGACTTTTTATTAGTTTATGAGTAATTTAAGGTATTCACTGACAGATGAAAAAATTATTAGTTTGACAAAAAATGTTGAAGGCCTGGACTTATTAATTATTATGTATTAATGCTCAACAAATTGTATCTGCATGATAACTGCATCATATTTCAACTGATAGTTCCCAGTTCTGTGCTTGCAAGGGGTGTCTAAATAGTTTTGTAGACCTCCTCTTACAGCAGATGCTTGTGTCCAATAGGATACAATAAAATGTAATGATCGACACATTCTGGTTTTGAACTTTACTTATTTCCTGTGGTTAACATACAAGACAGAGTTCAGAGCCATACTTTTATTAAACATACAAGCAGGGCATTGAACCTTCTTCCACCACTGTAAAAATGTTAGATTTTGATAACTCTGTAGTAGCCCATTGTTTACAAACTACACTGTAGCTGCCCATACCCTCTCTGATTTGTCAGCCACGTTATTGCTCAAAGAGCAATTGCTGGCTTATGCTTTCAGAATAGGGCATTACCAGGTTCATTGTTCCTTACTCCCTCCACATCATACTACATGTTATATAACAACCTCAAATAACTGGGGGATTACATCATCATAGGCAGGGAAATCCCCCCTGCCCCCTATTATCTTTAAAGAAGTGGACAGGTAAAGCGAGTCCACTTCTGTGAAGAGAATACCCTCCCCCACCCCTCCCTTTAGGTCTTAGGGACACCCCTAAGTTATAATATGACAAAGGTTTGTATTAGTACTTTACAAAAGACATCTAGATAAAATTTCCTGAATCTAAGTGTCTACGATATGTTTCTGAGTTCCATATGTTTGACCTCTGTCCATTACTTTTGACCTTTGTTCATTACTTCTCTAACCAGGATCCCCACTGGACAACTTCTGACACTACTGCAGTGAATCCTGAATGCTCAGAAACCCATTTCTATCCCTGCTTAAACAAAACCACATGGGGGTTGCCATATTTCAAGTTTGACATGACCCTCTTACATGTTAAAACTCTGAGAAAGGACAGCTTTACCATGGCAACCATCTGACGACTTCCATGAGATTTTTATTCAGGTCCTAATGTCCCTTACAATTAAATTATAGATGTAATCTCATCAAAAAGATCACTGTTCATCTGGTATTCTTAGCTTGCTTAGAAATGGTTTTAAAAATTGTAAAGTTTACATCTCTAAATATGAGTAAATCTGTAAACAAAGTAGATTTGTTGTACACATATTTTTGTTCCATGCCAAATAAATTCTCTTTTTGCAAAAATCATTTTTTTTAATTTCAGAAATAAAAGAAGCTTTTTTTGTTTAAACTTGGAAAAAGTGACAATGCATATAACAGTGTTTGCCAAAGTACTGCAGAACTAGTTACAAATGAATAACCACAGTATACAGCTTTATAAAATATCTTAGTAAATTCAATAAAGATCCAGCACTGAAATTTAATTGTAAAGAGCTCTTTTTATCTCCTGCAGGACAAAACAAGTGAACTGATAAACTTTTAAAAAAGTGAAAATCGAATACTGAGTCATAACTCCAAAACGTATACATCCCACACTTTGAAATTCATCGGTTTTAGGGTTTTTATTGCTGTTGTGTTTTGAAATGATCAATCGTCAGATAATTAATGCATTATTGAGTGCACCTCTACTGAAAATAAAACCTATGTCTTGAATTAATTTTATGATATGGTGCATTATGATTGCATCACTGAATTTCAAAATTATCTTGAGAACAAATTTGTTGAGATTTCAATCTAAGACTCTCACTGAAGTAATGGCTGCTAGAGAAAGACTCGAGATTTACCTGATTGTAGAAGATAATTCCAGGCTAATAGTGCGCTCCCAGTTATCTTAATCCAAACACTGCAAAAAAATGAAAGTAGTCATTTAAATCAAAACTCTTTTAAATGCAGTGCCAGTATCTATCAGCAGCAGATCTCTAAAATCAATATCACATCTCCCAAACTCCACAAAATGCAACACAAAATCACTTCACCATGAGAAAAAAGCTATGAACATGATGAAACTGCACACCAGCTTGTGAAAATCTCCAATTACAATTGGAAAACTAACCATGCGTGGCCAGAAGAAATTGCGCCCTCTCTCACACATTTATAATGGAGGTATAATGGGGGACCATGACAATGCAGGAAAAAATTCCCTGAGAAATGTTTGCTCAGAGCTTCTGTCGGGGAAGTCATACGAGTGGAGCACCCCCCATCTACAGTGAGGAACAAGCACAAACAAATACTTGACAGGACAGGGGTAAAGAAGCTGCTCATAATATTGTTTCTGTGGAGATAAGCTGTTGATGCAGCTCTGTAGTAAATTAACTACACTGTTATGATAAAAGGCAACACTCTAATGTAAATCACAGCTGCATGCTCCTTTTGTTATCAGGTATTACTGCACTGTCAATCAATGAAAGCCAATAAATTTATTGATAGCAATAAATTGATATTTCATCACATAAAAATTTTTATAACAACAGAAAGTTTTTATTTTATTCTAGCTTTTTTGATGCCCCTTTCAGAACTAAGGTTATATAGAACTTCAATAGGCTTCTCTGAATCAGTTGTAACCTTGAATCTATGTGGAGATGCTTATCTTGTCTGTTAAGGCCAAACCATCCATTAAATGAGGACTTTTACAAGAATAAGCCTAACTCTGCTCTTTTCTAAATTATCTCCCCTTAAAGGGAATGCTCTCTTTATCATTTGAACAAACCTGAATTATATCCTGTAAATTATTGCAAGAAATACTCTGTGGCAAAAGTTTGATTAAAATTGGTTAATGGTCCTTAATAAGTCAAGAGTGTGAGAAATTAATGGTTAAATTAGCAGACAGGTATAAGGCAGATAGTCAGATGAATGACAGGAATGCATAATCTGATCAGCAAGTGACTTTAAAACAAAATAGTACAAAGTTAACTTTATATTTCAATAAATTATATACAGTGTAAGTGGAAATTTTTGCGAGACACAATTTAATGATTTGTCATTAAAAATTGGTATTTTATTATTAGCGAGATGTAATTTTAGCGATTTTAAAAAGCACACTTATCTAAATAAGCTATTACAAATAAAGCGCAATTAATTTTTAGTGATGCTCAATTTCAGCGATCTTGGCACCCTTGCTATTAATGCCAAAATTAAATCCTCGCTTAAAATTATACAGTAGTATTTGCTCTTTTTTGTACAGTATGTGGGATAGTAACATAGCTGTAACTTATATACAGTAAGTATCAATAACATCTTCAACATATCAAAATTTTTCGGGTGAATTTAACTCTTTTATTCTGAATCTAAAAGTCAGCCACAAAACCATGAACCACATTAACAGGCATATATACTGTCCTCAGTATTAGAGCATCACATGTATATACCCGGTTGCAGCATGAGGCAGCATAAGTCTGTTTTTGATCTAAACTGGAAGGTAATGAAATATGGATATTTTGCATAATGCAATACTGGATTCATCTCTACAGAAACTCCTTGTGGATACAGATATGTTTTTTTTGTCATTCTATATCTGGATTACTGCTGAACACAGCTGGTATCTCCCTGGTTAACAGTCTAGTAAGGTGAACAAACTTCTGCAGTAGCCATTGACAGAATAAGCAAATGGAAAGTCCCTGGTTTTATGCCCAACTCTAGAATCTACCATCTGTGAATGAAGGAACTTCTTAGGGCAAAACTAAATGAGGGAACTAATTCAAAGTTAATAATCTTCAGTAAGGAGAATTATTACAGGCCAAATCTGATTAGATGTCCCCAAAAGTTCTCCCTCAAGCAAGGAAAAGTGAGTTTTTATTTCTTCCAGGAAAAAACGTCGATAGTTTTGTGTGTCCTCTTGCTGGGTAATGGAGAGTTGGCTCTGCTTCCCATATATAATGTATGATCCACACAGAACGAGCACTGATTTACTGGGCTCGCCATTATTACAACATTATAGGATTAGATTTAATGAGTTTTACACTTAAGGATTTCTAAAACTAATTATAAAAAAAATATATTTAGGGGAATGGTTCTTAGAAATATATTTTAAAAAGTCAGTTTTATACCGGTATTTTTCATTACTCCCTCTATATTGCACAGTACAGCAAACTCGTTAAACACGGATATTGCGAATTTACGGATATAGCGAAGTCATCTTGGATCCCCAACTATATAAATTTAATGAATTTTTTTTATACTGTTATTACGAATTACGGATATAGCGAAGTAATTTCACAGGTCCCTGTGACTTCGTTATAACCAAGTTTTGCTGTATAACTAAATGGATGAATATACATTGTATGTGGTGATTTATTTGGTTGTGGAAATTTGTTATTTGAGGATGGTCCGAGCCTGGCAGGGAAAGAGGGATCAAACATGAAGAAAACATAAATTTTCAGACTTATCCTTTAATAAAACACAATAATAGTGTTTATACTACATCAAATTAATCTCGATTTAAAACTAATCTAAATTGCTTAAGTGAGTCAAAGTCAAATCAAAGATTCTGTAAGAGAATGTCAAAAACAATTCTGACAATTGAGCATTAATGTCTTGTTAGCTCCACACCATCTTTGTTTTCTTATAACAAATCTGAGTAGACTCATTAACCTTGTCAGTGGCCAGCAAGGGAAAGGTCAAGTCCATCCACCATATTTCACAATTAGACAAGTATGTACCTAACTAATGGTTATAACCATGTTAATTGGAGCACAACAGACAATTCCCAAGCATCAAACTTCTGATGATTAATGAAAAATAAACAAAAGGCCCATGGGCCACAACACTCACATGTGTAACTTTGGCCTTGCTGTTCTTCACCAGATTTTCCCCCTTGTAACCCCATCCTACCCCCAAGGACCATGGTTTCAATAATTAGAATCTACACTACCCCAGGAGAATGCTTCCACAAAGGTTTCATCTTTTATGGCCCCCTGCAGTGGTTCTTGAGAAGATTTTACCTATATACATTGTATTTCAATGTAAATATTTCCATTCCCCATTTTGGTCCCACCCTACCCTAGGGGGTCATGATTTCAACAATTTAAGATTCTTCAATACCCCAGGATGAATTCACATATTTTTTGTTTTATCTTTGCTGGCCCAGTGGTTCTTTAGAAGATTTTAAAAGATTTTTCATATATATGGACCTTCTATCCGGATGTATCCGGAAACCGGACGATTTTTCATCGGAACGAAATTTTAAAATGTTATTCTCTCTTGTTTAACTGGTGATTCAGATATCCGGATGCTTCACTTATTCGGACAAATTGACTGGGAACCAAAGCGTCAGGATAAATGAGGGTCCACTGTATATTTCTATGTAAAACTTTGATTTCCTATTGTGACTCCACCTTAGCCTTTGAAGACCTGATTTGAACAATTTAGAATCAACTCTACCTCAGAAAAATTCCACATATATTTCTCTTATTTTCTCATTATTTTCTGGCCCAGTAGTGGTTCTTAAAAAGAAGACTTTTTAATGACACCCCTATTTTGCATTTTCTTGATTATCTACCCATAGAAGGGGGCTTAAATTGGTCCTTTAATTTAACAATTTAGAAACACCTTCACCTAAGGATGCCATGTACCAATTTAGATTAAAATTAACCCATTGGTTCTTGAGATGAAGTTGAAAATTTTACAAGTTTACAGATGGACAGGCAGACAGTTAGACAGACAGGTAGATGGAAAGACGAATGCCAGAACCGGGTGATCAGAAAAGCTCACTTGAGTTTTCAGCACAGGTGAGCTAAAAACCTGCATAATTCACAGAACATAGAACTGCATGCAGATAAATTTCTTACTGTATAATGATTAACAACTTGGGATTAAATAGCTAATCCCATCTTCATCTTGATCATAAGTTATCAAATTTATATATGACTGTCTACACCAGAAAACTGAAAGTATGGAAGAGAGCAACAAAAGTATAGATGCTTGAACTACAGATACTAAAGTCAGCAATTAATTCTGAATCATTAAAAAAAGAGAAGAGAAAAATGACATGTATTCATTTTATAATGAACCTCTTTGTTGCTAATACACAGTCCAGAAAATTGAAGGGATTCTCTCTTCACATTACAACTGCTTCTGACTACAAGTCTGAACAAACCCGTGTTGATACGATTGTCCAAGTATGCGATTACAATCTGTTTTTTCTGGAGGAAAACAAATTACTTCACAAGATGTTATCAGCTGAAAAGCATAAAAATCTCTCATGTTCACACTGCATCCAAATGGGAACCATAGCTACACATTATTTTTTATCAAGTGTTGTTTTTAAAACTTGCAAAGGTAGCCCCCCCCCCATTTAACACATTAAAAATTATGTTAATTATGCATATTCAATACTTACACCTAAAAAAAAAATGCTTTTTTTGATATTGATAAAGGCTTAATTTACAATTGCCAATGGTGACTGGTGTCTGTGCCAAATTTTGATTGTCGGCCTGCACAATATTGGTCATGCATTTCCTAATTAGTCAGTACGTGTAATACAAATGAGATAACGTACACCCGCTAACATAGCATTCAATCACAATACTGGCTCTATAATCTTTATAAATCATATCATAGTCCTCTTACGTCAGTGGAGACAAATTAATACCGATACTCTATATACCATACAATGGTACATAAATCTGATACAAAATGTAGATCAACTGAATCAAAATTAATTACATTACTGAATCTATCACTCATTTTCCCCTCTTTTTGACATAAATCTGTGATATGACAGCGGGAATAAGTTCACCCTATATTATATGAGAAAAGGGCATGGGGAAAGTACATCCATTCTGACTTTATAGTGAGAATTACCATTTCAGACTGCTCCACTAATAATTGGTGTATGATTTGTCTAGAAATAATAAAGTAGTTATCTATTAACACTATTCACACATGATTAAAAAAAAAGTTATCATATTACTAAGCCTTATTTTTCTAAGTTAACTTTTATAGGTTATGAACTTCATTATTACAGTCAAATCTTGATATCTCAAAGTCAGCAGAAAAAGATCCAAGATATCTAGGATTTCATGTTACAAAAGTTGAGATCTGAGACTCGCTTTGATTTACTAGTATTCCATTGGCTGTGTGGCACAGTGGTTAGAGGATCTGCTTTAGAGTCGCGAGGTAGGAACTGATCCTTACATCGCGGCTTTGAATCCCACTGTGGGACATGGAGACCAGTCCTTTGGATGAGAATGTATAAGCAGAGGT